TAATAAATATTTAGATATTATAATAATATATTATTTATAAGTTTTATAAAAGTAGTCAATACATTAATTAATCTAAATAATATAATTTGATATTTATATAATCTATATTTAATTTTGAAAGTAGTTTTTCATTCTTTATCTTTTTTTATTCTAATCAAATAGTAATTATTATATAAATCTATCTTAATGAATATTGTTATTCCATCTAATTAATTTTTTAATTTTATAATTAATGAAAATGGATATCAATCCTTTTTTATAAATATATTAAGTTTTTTATAATTTATAATTAATTTGTTAGATCTATTTTTCTTAGATATTTATATAATTAGACTAATTATTTAGAACACAAATTCCCTAATCCATTTTTTAACTAAATTGTTGTTAATATATTCTTTAAGTATTTTTAGCTTATTTATTAATATTGAATAAATTGGAGTGTATATAAATATTTTGCTTTTCTTTAATATTATTTTATAATCTTATAGCTTATATTCTAATAAAACCTTATGAATCCCTGATTTTTTGAAAATATATTTATATTTTTTATATTATTCTAATATTATAGGTTCTCTTATTTTAATTATAATTTCCTATTATATTATTAGCTTTTATACTTATAGAAAAAGTATACTAGCCTTTACTCTTAATAGAGAATTCTAGACTAAATATCTTATATCACTAGTATTATTTATATTTAATTCTTTTTAGTATATATTATATCTTATGAATACTTGGAATATATTATTATAATTATTTTTATACTAATTAAATATTATTATCTCTAATAACCAATCTATTATAAGATTATATATTCTTAATTATAATATTCCTAAAATAATCTATTATTAGCTTAATAATATAATATCAAGTTGTATAATCTTTGAATATTGAATTATACTCATTTATACTGATTATATTTTCTATAAAATATTTTTATTAGATTCTATTAGTTATTTATTAATTAATTATAATTAATAAGGATTTTGTTTTTATTAAAATAGGACTTTTAAGTACTTTATAGTTTTTAATGTAATAAAATTTCCTATAACTCTTGAATTTATTATGATAGTTTATGTTTATTTATTTATTTTAATTTTATAATAGATTTATCCTATTTATCCTATAATATTCAGTTATAATATAATTTGTTTATCCTTATTATTCTAAATGATTTTATTAGTAAATATTATTTTTTGAGATTTTTCTTTTTCTAAATATATAGTATTTATTTCTAATTTTGTTTTATTATTAAATAAATCTTTTTATAGAGTATATTAATAAATCCCTCAAATAACTTTTATTATAATATTTATAACTGGTGGTAATAATATGGCTTAAGTTTGAATATAATATTCTTTTTTAACTTTTTTGTATAGAAATAAGTTCTTATTTTTATTCTGCTTAAATATATATTAATAGAATATTTCCTATAACTTTTCTTTATTTAGTTATTAGAGATACTCTATGCTAATCCTTTTTATAAAGAATATATTTATAATAATTTTAAATCATAGGATTTAATATTAATTAATATATTTCATTTTATATACTTCTCCTTTCTCAGTATTTATTATACTAAAATCTTTATTAATAATTCCTTTATTTATATCCTCAAATTTCCAGATATAATGATTCTATTAACTAATCTTTTAAATTAATTATAATTCTCCTAACTATAAATCTTTATTTATCTATAAAAAATATTCAATTTCCTTTTTTTCTTTAAGCTTATTTTTATAAATTAATAACAATATAATTAGTTTTGTTATATTTATAATATATAATTATAGTATAAAAATAATATTAAATTAGCTCTTATTAAATTTATTCTTAAAGTTGTTCTTTTTATTTTCTGTTTTTTTATTTCGATATTTTATTATCTAATACCCTATTTTTCTATATTCAAAATATAAATTATTTTCTTTTCTTTATTTCTTTTTCTAATTATTATTTCTGAATATATGGTATATAGTATTTAATTTTATGAGATCCTTATATTTCTATAGATTATAATATAATTTATTCTTATTTTTATGATATTATTTTTGCTTTTGATTTCCTTAAGATTTATATAATCTTTAACTTTATTAATATTTATAAAGATAATTATTTGCTTTAATAGAGTTCTGAATTAGATTGTTTAGGTTTATATTCTCAATAAATCTTTCTAATTCCAATCTGATTTCTAATTTAAGTTCTTTATAATAATAATTTATAATAATAATATTATTCTATTTGATTGTTTTTATATATCTTCAGAATTTTATAATATAATAAAATATTAATTTTATTTACTTAAAGTTGAAGATCTTATTTTTTGTTATTTTTAGTTTATTAGAATTCTTAAAGATTTTATGAATCTCTATTTTGAATTCTTTAAAATTGTTAAAAATAATTCAAGTGAATTATATATAACTTTTATTGTTATATTTGAAATAATCTTATAAATATAATTAAATCTACTTACTTGCTTTTTCTTATAAATAAAATGTAGTTTATATACTTTTGGATTTTATAACTATAAACTTGTTTTTATTAAACTGAAAGTAGATTTCTAATTATAAGAAAAAAATATCGAGTTTCTATTAATTATCTTGATATTTGTTTAATAAAATAATCTTAAGAGTTTCAATAATAATAATCTCTTTTAGAGTATTAATTATTTTGATATCGTTAATATCTATTATTAATATAAACTGATTTGTAGCAATATTTCTGAATATTATATTTAATAATGATTTTATTGAATTAATATTTAAAATAAAAATAATGCTCAAAGTGTTATAAGAATTATTTCTAGAATTATATAGAAATATTTAGAAATCTCTTAAGATAATTTAAATTAAATTTCAAATAGGAATTCAATAAAATTATAATTAATTATAATTCTTATAATTATAGTAATAAAACTAATAATTGTTTTTAAGTATAAAGCTTTTATATTATAATAAAATCCTATTCTTTATATAAATCTTTATTCTCTATAGAACCTAAGATTCTATTCTATTTGGAATCCTTTTGGATCCTAGATTTTAAAGCTTCTAACTTCTTGAATTCTAAGCTCTAAAGACTCTATTATATAATAATTATCACGTGATATATTATTACTCGCTGTAATAATAATATCTATTTTTAGATTGAATTATTTATAAATAAATAATCTTTAAAGATTTTGAATATATTGAGAATTTATAGTATTATTAAATATTAATAGTTTTATCTAAATACCTAAAAGATTGTTTATTATAAATAAAGATACTAATTGAGAGTAATATATCAAGATTAGATAGGAATTGATAATATTGATAGCAATTTTTTTTTTATTCTTTTAATCTATAATCTCTAAGTGAAGATCTACTAGTATCTCTTCTTTCTCTATATATATTCTTAGTATATTAGCTTTTAGTATTAGAAATATAATATATTCATAAAAGTTTATTTAATTATTACTTTTGAAAACAACAAGAGATTTATATTTCAATTTAATTGAAATTGAATTTATTATATTTGAATAATATGAATTTTTATATCAAAATATATTATAAAGAAAGTAAAAAAGGAAGCTTTTTATAATATAATACTTATAATCTATTAAATGTAAATAATAAATTATACGGTAAAAACCCCGAATGTTATTATTCCATGTATTAATACCTCAACTAGTATATAATAAGACAAAATATTATTATTTCGTTATACTATCGCTAAATTTATAGGCTAGCAAATTTCGAATCTAGTATACAATCTTTTAGGAATTAATGAAATGAAAAAAGAAGAGATAAAATTATTAATTAGAATTCAAGGAATATAATTATATAAATTTTTCGGAATTATCTTTAAAATAAGAATTAAAATCTAATATAATAATATCTTAGTAATAGGAGGGTTAACGCTAAAACTTGATTATTGTAACAAAACTAGCTGGAAAATTATTAAATTGAAATTTAATTCCAGTTTTTGAGATAATTCAAAATAAATTATTTTACTAAATTCTTTAAGCTCTAATCAATAACTATATTTTTTTTCTTTTATTTAATTAATCCCTAAAAGGTTTTATATTAGATTAAAAGATTGATAAGCATTACAAAATACTAGTTGAGGTTACTTTAGTTATAAATCTAATATTTGAGGTATCAATACATGGAATAATAATATTCGGGGTTTTTACCGTAAATTATATATAATAAATAATTTATTGAATATATATATCTAATCTATATATCCAGAAAGTCCGGAAGAAGAGTTTTATAGTAATGTATACATACTATACACGTACTATATATGTGATTTCCAATAAATATAATCTACTTATATATAAATTACGTTATAAATAATATAAATTATTAATATTGGTTTGAGAAGGATATAGAAGACATAGTACCTACGAATGTAGGTCCTAAATGTCTATATTGTATTCTGTTTAAAGAGCTAGCTATGTATAGGAAGTAGTAGGTCTTATATTGTCACGGGTTCAATACGTAGTTATGTGGATGCCTTAGGCATCCGCCCTCCATATAGTCGGCGCCTCTCCGCCTCCTTCTTCACTCCTTGTAGAATATCATACATCTTATCAAGTACCTATCTCTTGCACCGTGATATATATAGACCTACTGAAAGAGCTAGTCTCTTTTGCTTTCGCTTATGGCTTGTAATACAGTAGCTAATGAATTGAAACTGTTCACTATATGATTAACGTTCATATAATTAAGATACAAATAAAGACTTATATTATATTATAAAAATAGAAAAGCTATAAAAAAGTAAGGCTCTGTTTATAGGAAATAGGATATATTAATAGTCTATATCTGAGGCATAAAAGCAACTATAGATCATATAGTTAGCGCCGTGATAATTTCTATAAGAAAACCAAAATAAACAATTTGAATTCAAGAGACAACGGAAAAATCAAATACGACCGCCAAATAACTGAGATTCTTAATCTAATCGCATAAAACAGTAAATAAGACAAACGCTAACGCCGATCAAGAAGTCGTCTATCATCTTCTCTTTTTCGCTTTCTCGATTTTCTTTTGTTCCTTTTGTTCTTCCTTATCTCGCTCTTGAAGAATTTTATTTCCAGAAAGTTCCTTATAGTCTCTCATAATATCCGATGCTTTTTTCGATCGTGTCCCATACTTGTCACTCCAATTCTCCAGGTTGCTTCGCTGAGGTAAGCATTGGTCTAATTCTCGATCGCTACCTCTCTTTATCGTCTTGCAAATATCAATAACAGTGTTTAGTTTCTCCTTTTCTCTCTGAGATAGAAGTCGATGCCCGCGTTTACAATCTTTCTCAATGAGATCTTGATAATCAGTTTCTAGCTTGATGTTGTCATCTAAATTGACCCTGATTTTCTTGACTGTAATCATAGTTTATGATACTATGGTGAAAAAAATTGATTTTCAGTGGTTATCAATATATGCGAATGTGAGTGGTGATATTTGAGAAAGAATAATAGTAGAGGTATTTCTTGATACTAAGGAAAGTAGTGTTGATGTTGTTGGTTTGAAAGAGTTTAGTAGACAGTTCAATAGAGAATCTCTCTTCTTTTTATATCTTCTTTATTACCTTTCCAACATTTAGGCACCAGGGTCGTTGGAAATGATTCAGGCACTGATACTACCAAAAGTCTAAGTCCAGTTCTAGGCATTGCAAATATAATTACAGTCCTAAGTCTACTGGTCCCAGAGAAGTTTATGCGAAACAGTAGGCTTTATATTTGATAAGAATTGACAGGAGCTGGTACTTGAAGTCCCTTGAAGAAAAAAAGCTTAAATCCAAGCAAGTAGATTTCACGCTTGAATGTGAAGCTACTTATTCTGCTGAGATATCTGAGAAGTTCTGGGTTTGAAGTATATTATAAGGAGGATTTCAAGAACATCAGACCCTAGATAATAAGTTGAGCGGACACTTTAGCAGGGAGTTACTTCTGTTCTCTTCTAATGACACTTCTGGTATTTCACAGATGTCAAGACTTATTTTTCTGCCTTGGCACCACGTGATCACAAAATTAAGATGTTGAAAAACATGTACGATGTAGGCCACCTAGGTCAGTACCCCGACGGCGGCCTGGTGCCTATATAGACGCTACAACCCCAGGTAACCCTGATCCTCTGAAACTATATAATTGTTTGTATAATGTGTTTGTGTTGTATAAATACCTTTGTGAAATAGTTTACATGTGAGTAATGAAGAGAAGAAGACCGTTTAGTTATTAATCGTGTGTCTTTCTACTCAATCTCAAATATAAGCCGCGACCGTGGAAACACTCGTCGATTTTCCAATCTTTAAATTCCATATTTCAGTATCACATCATACTAGTGAACACTAGTTATTGATAAACCCAGAGTGTATATGAGCGACGGCGCAATGTCATTGAGTAGTTACATAGTCTAAGTGAATGATTACCTAGGGGTCCCGTATAAATTCCATTTTAATCTCAAGATCTTTAAACCTGAGCTGGTATCAAATAAGGTGTTGAGCCACTTTACAACGATTATAATCGCTAAGTAGACACTTGTCAGTAATTCGGAGGTACGGCTGATGCATAGCCTCTTTATGGTGCATTTGACACTAGCTCCTCATGTTTTGCCCCATATACTTTATTCTACGGCCAATGTGATGATAAACCATGCTACAGTAGTACAGCAGTATCAAATGCACTATTTCTCTTAAAATCTCCCTTTCCCTTTGCTTCATGATTCTGGAAGAATATAAAAGTTCAACATCCTACCACTGGACATCAATTTAATCCTGCTGATATTCAAAGTCTACACACCAAGCAGATACCATCAAAGACCACTTCACAATCCTGCGATTTAAGCTCACTTTACCATCAATTTTTCACCTGTATCAGTCACATGTCACCATCAAATATGATTAAATTCGAGAAATTCAATAAGAAAGTTATAAAGGCATTACCACACAATCTGGTAAGTCATGATGAAGAAGCTGATGCTCTACCTTGTATGACTCTCAGTGAAAAATGGGCTTTCAAGAGCATACTGAATCAAGAGAAAATAACATTAAGTACAAAGCTTAACGTGCAAGGCAAAGCCAAGCCTAAGACTCGTAAGTACCAAAACTCTTCGATTTCTCACGTAGCATACTAAATTATTTTTCAGAGCTTGAAACTCCCATAAACAACTCCCGCATCACAAGATTGCCACAGGAGATACTCCTTCGAATCGCAAACAACTTAGACTTCCATGGAAACCAGAACATAGTACCATTGGCGTTGACTTGCCGTCACTTTTACCTTCTCTTCTGCAATGACATTAAACGTGTGGATCTCAGGCAGTTGATATGCCCTTGTACGAACAACGATCTGCCACAGTTTGATATGGACCATGATCACATGCCCAAGTGCCGACCATGCCCACTTTGGTCTTGTATAGAGGACTGGAGCGGTCTTGGAGGATATCTATATTGTTCTGGGAGGCATAATTACTGCTGCCCAGGCCAATCAAAACTCAAGGAATGTTATTGGTTATCTCGGGATCGCGGTTATCTTCCCTGGCCAATCGAAACTAGGGGTCAAACGATAATTCGAATCAAGAATCAAGAAGAGGCTGCCAGATCTCTTTGCCATGCTCTCTCAGTTGGACTTTTTATCAAAGTTTCCGCGCTTTGCGATGTGAAAGCAGATTTTTTCATAGGCCGAGCAAAGACAAGTCACTACGCTGTCCCAAGTCTCAAAAGCATATTATGTGAGTTAGACCGACAAGCGAGGCACTGCTGGGGCAAAGAGATGATGTTGAATTATTCTGAATGGAGGGAGATGATTGGGTTTTGATCCGGGACTATCTTAACTTGTGCCACTCTACAGAAAGAAATTGTTGAATCCGGGGAGTTAACAGGGATTGGGCATACGATGGTTCAACCGTATAGTCGCTAATTAGAAAAGCTTTGCGCATGCGAATGCAGACCAAGTTTCTTCAACCACGCAAATAATTGACCTATAAAATGAAGAATTGTAGTGATATGACTTTTAATCTTGCCTCAATATCTACGTGGTCAATTATTTAGCCAAGTGCAACCTGTTTCATCATGGAAGTGACTTTAAATGACATAATTGGGATAGGCTATTCTAGTCCAAGGCAACTAACAGTCTGAACTATAGTCCAACAATACAAAGATTTGAATATCTAAAAGTAATTAGAAATTTGAAAATGTTCTAATTTTTTGATCAAGTTCAATATCTCAAATGATTTGAATGTTTTGATTGATTTGGGAATTCAATAATTTTCATCCTTGGATTGTAGTCCGGATTATTGAATACTTTGTGAATCTTGTCTTTTCAAACAACTTTTCTCGAAGTAATCCTCAACAGGAATCAGTATTTAACATTTTAGTATTTGAAATTGTAATATTTGACGAAAACTTAATTTATTGGAATAACCAAACAAGTTGGGCTGGGAAAAGCTTGTCAAGATAAAAAAGAGTTACCATACATCGGAACTTAATTATATTCTATGTGGAAAGCTTTAGGCAAACTATCAATTCATGTTTTATACCCTACAATACCGGACTTGAACAACTTCAATTTCGTCCATATTAGGGAAGATCCTGTAAGTTCTCCTCTCTACCCTTTCCGTGATTGTTAGAATCCCGTAAATTGTGTATGATCTCTCATCCATTGGGCAGCTTTGGCGTGTGAACTCTCCATCAATATCCAGCCATGCTTTAGAAGTTCGCCTTGAAAGCTGGCTTCTGTAGACCCCTCCATGTTATTGGCTTGTAGAGTGAGGTTGCTAATCAATAATTCTTACGTCGTTGAATGCCAGTGAAGTACGGCTTTCTAAAATGTTACGGCTAGATTACCGGTATGATTCATACGGTTGTAATGTCTACTCACGAAAAGAGGCTAGTTGTATTACAGTGCCCATTTTCTTATAAAGTGCATGCGAACACACCTCCACAGAAGGAAATTCACGATTCTCCGAAATATCCTCATTCACACCACTTAATAACTTTTCGAATTCACAATCTGAATCAACCAAAGACTCGAATTTATTGTCACTTTCAAGCTTAAATTCTTGAAACTTCTCATAATGCCATCAGGAAAAAAGGATCATTATTTGACACTAATGGCGCTTCCCAAGTCCGCTGAATCTCCACTTGAAGATTATGTCGAGCCCAGTTCCCAAATCTCTGGTAATTCTTTTCTCAATCAGGTTGTTCTAGATTCTATTAAGCTATGCTAACTTATCTCTAGCCATCAACAAATTTACGCAGCAGGTTTCAACCCATGAGAAGAAGTCTATAGTTGACGTTTTTCCTACCGAGCTCATTGCAAACATTGTGGGGCATCTTGGTCCAACATTTGGAGTAGTATTTGGTCTGACTTGTCATCAAGTATATGATGAGTGCAAGCGTCAGTACCCACACTCAGATGCCCTTCTTCTGGAAACACTTCTATGGGATAAGAGCTCAAAGGAAGACGTCCAGCATCCACTATTTCGACCATCCGCTCGACTTCACGATCTACTTGGTGAATGGATGGGAAGTGGCGATACCACAAAATACTTCTACTTTCGAGATCCAGCTCTCGGATCATCTGATCTCTTAATGTACAGCGCCATACCGGGATACTACGTTGGCAAGTTTCTGCTCCGTGAAATTTATGGCGAGGAAGCCGATCCTTCTGGCCACGCTTTGAGGCAGTTGCTTTTGGCATGGTGCGCCTACGTTCACATTCAGAGAGGATGGCTACAGTTCCGTGGAGACGATGAGCCTCCACACTATCCTTCGCCACTTAACATGGGTGGAAAAGCATGGATTGATGAGATGGGTAGAATTGTGACTGTGTACAAGAACAGAGAACCAGAAAATATATTCATATACATCGTCAGAATAGCTATTAATGTAGCCAATGAGGAGTATGGACAATGCTCATCAGTTATTGAAGCGAGAAAAAAGCAGTTGCGGGAACAGCAAAAAGGACTGCGAGCGTAGCGCGCTTTGTATCATGCAGATTAATTGCATCCTAGTTAGGCTACGACCCATATAACAGGGGAGGTTATATGAATGGACAGCAAGCACAATCTTAAATTTAGCTTAGTATTGTACCGAAACCTCAAATAGTCTTATTATGATATCTACTACTTTATTCTGCTTTATTCCGTGCTGAGATGCTTCCTTTGAATCTGTTTGATGTTTTTAAACGACCCTTCCAAATCAATCCCGAATCAGTAATCTTTTGAACATAGTAGATTTTACTTTTGATCACGAGCTATATTTAGTTTCCCGTAAGCTTTGGTTTATAGCGATTTGAGAATCCATTCTACAAATACAAACGAAACATTCAATGAACGTGGAAATTAATGTATATCTGTTAGTCGAGAACCACTAATCTCCTGGGGTATTTGCTTCTCGGTTAACTTTCATTTGGGATTACACCCTCAGATGACATCGGGGTTGTCTATAAGATCCATTGCAAGCCTTTTTAGTAAGTCAAACTTGTTTTATTTGATATGAGGACCGTTATAGATGTTGGGTTTCTCTTTCATTCTTGTTACTCAAATTTCAGAGACACAAATCTTGCTCTATTTCGCTGTAGGCATCATCAAATGTTCCTATAAACATATGGAACTCTTGATTTAAAAATATGATGGATTTTTCTGTATTTATCCTGATATGCAAAATGAGATGCAGAACTAACGGCATGAGAAATGCGGGGAGATATATCTTAGAGATAGAAATGAGCCCTAATGATATAATCATGGAAGAAAATTCTATAACATTTAAGTTTTTTTCTAAGTGACATACCCATAATTTTTGTTGAGACATAAAGCTAGAGGGTATCTCGGCTAATAAGATCTCTTAAATCTTCAGCCTGCATGACGCCTTAAGCGTGTTGAGAGCTTGTTCATAGATTAGGACGAGAAATTGATCGTCAATTGGAGTTGCAACGTGAATTCAAACGAATCTATTTGAAGTTCTGTGTCAACCAATCAACTGAAGACGACAAATTTCTTTCAAAAATCTGTATCGAATTTAGGAATACACTCTTCAACAAGAACCCCGGGAATTCCGTCCTCCTTTTTCCTTCGGAAACTATATCCTCAAAAATGCCTCTTTAGGAACCATTCCAAATATGCACTTCTAAAATGCGATCTGCAGTGGAATTCTATCACAATATGTACTAAACAACTGAAAACTCGAATTTTCCTACTCTTTGTCCTAAAAATTCAACATAGAGACTTTAATTGAAAGGACCTACAGGCTTGCCCAGAGGCCAAGAACAATCTATGATTCTTTGAAATAAAGAATTAGTTTATAGAGATAGAATCATGGAATATAACAAAAGGTCACCGCAGAAGAAGAGAATAATATTTAGCTGTATTGCCATACCTTCTTTCCTTCTTTCTTCTTTTCTTCTCAATGAAAATCACCACGTCGGTACTGCCACCAAAGTAAATTTAATTCATATCAACCTGTAAGCTATGAATGTTGCAATACTGGCATAAACTTTCCTAGTCGCTGATCATATGCGATGGATCGTTTAACAACAACCAGAGAGAATTCTATTTCTCAACGTAGCCGTAAACTGCCATCGATTTCTACATCAATGGCCGTTCAATTTTCCGAAAGATCAAACCAATGGATCATGCGATAAGCGCGTTGAAGTTGCATGCGCATACCTGATAATCGCTGGAATTATGTTCAGTGTAGGCAGAATTGAACTCACTATTTTGGGACGTCTTTGCTATGCAAACGGATATTTCTCGAGTAGAGCTTTACTTGTAGATGAGCTATGTCAACTCTCAGGGCTTAAAGATCATGAGAAATTGAGGGTATCAGAGCGATGATAGAGAAACACAGTATATGGCTGAGAACAGCCAAGGAAAAGGTTCAAAGTGGCACAAAAGAAGATATACTTGGAGATTCTTCCGAGTACATGTTGGTCGATTGGCTTGAAGACGGGGGGAGAATATTGCCAATCCAAAGGTTCCAGGATCTTTTTAGAAGGCAGTCTTATATGTCGAGTGTGGTTATGATCAGTTGTGAAAATATCAGGGTTGTGTTCAATGTAATAACAAATGGAGGTTCAAATGTAGCTACACTCATCACGCTAGGAGATCTATAGATATTCATCCGCTAGATTGGGTTATTTTTCGTCTATTGAAAATGGAGAAACGTTTTAGTGTGAGGTTGAAGTGAAGTCGAATTCTCTGGTCTTGAGTGTTAGGTATAATTTGCTACAAAAAGTCCCTTAGAATTTAGGGACAAGGTCTCGTTGATGTATCCGTTTTGATGCGAATATTTCCTTCCTAGATAGTCCAAATTCAACCAAATGCCACACCACTCACAAAACATGCCGCTAAAGCATCTTGGTCTCATTGATCCAATTGCTTATCAAGATGGTATCTCTCTAATTTCCACCACTGTGATTGTCTTATTCTGTATTTCAAGGTATGTTTTAGGAGAAGTACTCGCTATGGCTCTCGAAGTGGTACAGTAGTCACCTCATGAGGTACAGAATGATATGGCATCAAATGGATAAGCTGCGTATACGGTGGTAAGTTGCCGGACATGCCTTTTCACGATTGACCCGGGAATCATGGATACGATTCAGCCGTACAAAACATCTATCTGCTTATAAAGATCACCTCCAGACTCTATTTTTCCCCTTCATTTTCCTTGCCAACATCATCCTGATTATTTTTCGACGATTTCACATCGACTCGAAGATAACAAATTTTTAATATCACAGCTCCATCATCTGGTTGAATTATATTATGGGCGCCCAAATATCGAGCGAAAAGTATTTTAGCTCGAAATTTGGAAAGATCAAGAATGTACTCCATTCTTCGTTTAGATCCCGAGCTACAAAACAATCGGGTGAGTGGATTGGCATGATTCATGGTCACTAGCTAACGAAATACCAATAGACTCGAAGCTGGAGAGGTTGCCTGCAGAGATTCTATTGAAGATCATGCGATTTCTCATTGTCTCAGACGTTTCCATTGCATTCACATGCCCCCGCATGTATGTAATGTTCAAAGACGTATTTCCGCGACCAATCAGTTTATGTAATGCTGGCGTTACCCCTCATATCGATCATCTTGATGCTCTCAAGGTTAAAAAGCTACATTCAAAACTCATCAAGTACGCACCAATGCTGAGAATATATAAACCGAAAGACTATATATACAGAGTAGTGACACGCGTATGTAAGCCTTCGAGATACGACATGGAACTTGGGTTCTTATTTCGTTACGAACACTATGGTCGGTTTCTTCGCCGACCATATTATGATAACGAAGAAAATTACAGAGATCTTAAGGACAAGTATCTTAATTATGAGTTGTTTGCCCATTGCTGGGCCGAAACAATGGAGGGAGTATTCACATATCCGTACCCGCACAACAAGGGACGAGTCATCTACGAGATGGAGATGAAACAAGAAATTCATCGGCTACTAGATTCAATGGATGATGCAACTCCTAAGCAGTATATCTTGCGCGAGTTCTTCATGAAGGAGTTCCTAGCAATTGGTACATATATAGAGGTGAAAGACCTCGTTATTGCCAATTTGTCTTTGATATATTTTAGCCAATGGAGAGAGATGTCGGATTTCTGATTTCAGACGGGGACAAAGCCAAAGCCTATAAAAGCAAAATTTTTAGTGTTTTGAAGTTTGAACTTCATTTATAGCATTGAGTCTAAATTACATAGTCATATTATGCAAGGAGAGGCTGGAACCGAGTGCAGCGGGTGATTATGCAATTATTAGGATAGCAATCAAGGCAGTGCAAAGAAGATTGATAGATAGACAATGCGAAATTCTGAATAAACTATGACGCAAAAAATCGCAACATGTTTAATATTGAAAAATTTAACTCGGTCCAAACACTATTTTGGCCTCTTTAAGGGATGTGCCTCAGTGTTAAGAACATACTCATCTAAGCTAATCAAATCTGGATCAGCAAAGATAAGATAGAAGTATTTGAGCGTTTCAGCCATCCAGAACGATTCCATTCTGTCCGCTTTGGGAGGATTCTCTGAGACGGTACAGTCGTCGAGAGCAGCATGCGCAATGTCGGTGATTGTATGTTTGATAATATTGTTGAACATTGTCCAGGCTTGTTCTCGCAACTTAGGATCGCCAGTGATGCGATAAAGTATAAAGACGGACTCTATTGCCTCGGGCCTGTTCAGAGTTAGACACGTCATTACCATGGGAATATGAGAAGCCTTACCTAAGAATATAACGTCCATCATCGAACTTCGTGACTCCAGCTACCAGTCGGTGCTGTTGTATCTTTTCATGCACAGTTTCGTTGCCTTCAGTGTCTTTATCTATACTTTCGAGCCACTTCTGCTCGTCCCAGGGACAGTAGCTGTCGTTCTCGCATGGAACTGTATGCATCTTTTCAGGCATGATCCCAAGTGGCATATTCTCATAAGCCCAGAGACACCCATCGGTAAGCTTTCTTGCCAATTCTAGATCCTGATCATTTTCGAATATCTTTGCACCAATAGCAACCATTCCTCCTGCAAAGCAGCCCAGATGTTGCGCTTCTCCATCCGTTTTGAGTTCCGTGACCAATGTCTTTCCGTCACTATCTACGTTACCGGGCAAGCGAACATCCTCACCATTCTTCGTCATCGGGCGGAAGAATATATTGCGTTTCATTGCAATCAATGCAAATTCATACATCCTCCTGTATTGCTGAGTAGCTCCACCAAGTAGTAGATGTTGCTTTCGAAAATTAGCATATAATAGTCGAAATCTTCTCGAAGATGACCAAAGCTTACCTTTGGCAAATACTCATACAACGAATCAGCCATGCCACCAATAGTGAAGCCTCCATATTCCACGAAGTTCTTGTGTTTCGCGTTTACAACCACCGGCCACATTCCTGGTAATTTAGATATAGGTTGCTGGTTGTCAAATATATCCACGATGCGCTGCACAGCATCATAGTATCGGGGATCACCTGTAATTTGGCTAAGTCGTGTAAATTCTAGAGTCAATGAACCAATCTCAGATTCTAGAACATTGTCTTCGGCTTCCTGCGCGGCACCAGTGGCAGCAACATGGTAGTACCATCGAAGAATGGGTAAATGATTGGGTGTATCGAAGGATTTGTACAGCATCTCTCCCATCTCCGTCGCCTTCTGAAGTAAAACTGGATACTTTCCATCACTTAACTCATAAGCGGAGAGAAAACCGCCCAAGTACCGAATAGTAGTTTCAAAGACGTTAATTTGCTCAAGAGCGCAAGTACTGAAATCAATCTCTTGGATAGCTTCGACGGCTACTTTGAATTCCGAATGCATGCCCATGATCCAAAGGGTATCTAGAGAAAGACTTAGTAGAATGACATAAAAGTCTGAATGCTCTGTACTGACCGAGAGTGTCGACCAAGCTCGCGGCCCACCCCCCGAAGGGATCCATTGATCCACCGGATAGAGGCATCACCTCATCTTTCAACCATGCATGGCTAGTATAGCCGCTCCACGCATGTGTAAAATTACTTTTGACGGCCTCAAGCCTAGCTTGCCGGATTGATTTCTCGGCTTGAGTTTCTTTCTCAAAGCGATGTTGGATTCTCGGTATGGTTGTGGTCGGGTTCTTTGGAAGAGGTATGAAATCGGTAACAGGAAAGCTATGCGGGACCTCGGACCATCGAAACTTGTTTCCTTTCTCATTCGAAGCCGACTGGACAATCAGTTGAGACCGATCATATGATTCTTGGTAGCGTTTAAGCGCGGGCCTTTGGTAGATAAGAAGGAGAAGAAAAATCGCAACAACGAAGGTCGATACCTTCCATCTGAAGGCCATAACTGTTAGTGGAACTACACTTCCGCAAAGAGTTATTTTAATTTTGAATGGAATTGAAGGAACACAACGTTATTAAAGAGTAAAATTTAAAGAACGTGTGGAAAATGAAAAGCGCCCATCTTCACAAAAATATGGAGAAGAGAGTACAGGTTAAATGAGGATAAAATTGATTGGACAAGGCTACCTCAAAGGGTTCAGTCGCCAATATTCAGGAGCAAGAAATGCTTTAAATGGTAGACAGTGACTTTGGGGGCGAAAGGTTTGTATTTTTTAATTTCAGGGGTGGGATTCCATTCTGTAAGCGCCCTCAAAAAATAACTTCCCCAGGATCAAATGAAAGTCATTGATTGGTCGATTGTTGAACGCTTTGCGAACTGTTTTACATTCATTCGCTATCTAATTGACAATCATGGGCCAAGTAAGCAATAATGAATGACCGTATTCACTGACCATACATGTTGAGCTTCGAAATTTTCCCAACATGTTGGTACTAGGACAATGACCAGTATAGAGAAGCATGAGCAACAATAATCTCTCCAGTGAGACATTCTTTCCCAAGATTTGAAAAGACTCTGATTATGGTGGATAATTTGGGAATTTAAAAAAGTTACCAAATGAATACTCAAGTGGCACGTTACTCATGCTTCAATCCGTCGTATACAAATTTGTGATCACTATTTGTTACGATTGTTCGACGACGACGGATAAGTATAATTGAGATCAAGTTATCTATCCCTACTCGGTAAACGAACTGCAATACGACGCTCCATCCTCAGCATTATTTTCGGCATCTCTGTTCTCTACACTCTTCCAATCTATGCCCAAACATACATCTCTTCCACCGTATGGATAGTGCCGGATGGTAACACTGCGGACCTTTCCAAAACCTATACCAAGGGTATAACTCTTCAGGTTACTTGGTACCAAGTTCCAGAGGGTCATCAATTCCAAACTCTATCAATCCGTGGGTTACGGCCTGGGATTATGACACAACGCAGTTCAGCCAGCTGCTCACAGGTATGAAGATCCACTGCTGTTATAACTTCCCACTTCTAAGCTCAATGTTTCGCTTCTGCACTTTGTTCTTCTTCTTGCTGATCGATTTTCCTGTAATCTTCCCGATAATGTGAATATAAACAAGAGTGGAACCTATGACTGGACCATCGCAATATCAGTGAGTATTTTGAGCAAAGATGCGAAATATGTCCCCCAATTCAAGGATCTCAATTCAGTATATGATTCCAGTTCTCAAGAAATACCAAGCACCGGATTCTGGGTCATTAATGGAGCCTCTTCATCGGCTTTGACAGCATCTCCTACGCCAATACACTCGATGCAGGAGCCATATTAAATCAATCATCGTTCTGGAAACAAGGTCTCGCATTCATATCATTGCAGGCTCCTGGAATACACAATTCCTAGAACCCGAAGAGTATGGATTGAAGGCTGCTTTTGTATCAGCAGCAAATGGGTAAGACCTTATTTCAGAATTGTGGTTCGGTTGGTCGCTCGTATCATTCAGTTCTGCCTCGTCTTGTAGGAAATGTCCAATACTTGGAATGTTGTCCAGCAGGCCCTTCAGACTGCCACACCTCTGGAACAGAAATTTCATTGACATTCCACCATCTTCGGGGATGAAAACTATCGGAGAGGTAGGGTACATGCGCAAACTGTCTGAATCATAGCATTCGGGAAACAAATTGGGCAGCAGCGGGATCAGTGCCATTCTCATCGAAAATTGAGATTAGTCCTAAGTTTCGTAAGTAGCTTTCTCGTCTGTACTACACAGAAGTGCACAAACGTGACATATCACCATCTGCCTATTTAGTTGAAGTTGCCACATTGATTGCAGCGTACGCTGCTAGCTTCTGCACAGGCCATGCCATTGCCCATTGCCAATGTTCAGGGAGAATGGATTGTATACCAAACACCTCTCTTTCCGCAATGCCTCTCATCCACCAGACATTATCGGCAGCTTTGCAAAGTGCAAAAAAGTGAGCCAAAACAACAAGTGCACGGTTGCTGTTTTCGTTCAATTGTCGAACAAATGCTTTAGGTGCGACTGTCGGAAACGCATAAATGACACGGCGGAGTTCGTAAAGATCCTCTCCACTTTCGATACCGAGTAGAATGCGTCCACAATAATTCAATGCAAAAGTAAAAGCATCTTGGCTTTCGTCATCAATAACCTCACCCGGTGCCCTCCAATTTAAAAGTTCCAAAAATGGTTGGTGATACATTTTACCACGAACATCTGCCATCAACGTCTTCATGTCTGGTTTGGCGGATATTAGAGCTTCTAGCTGACTATTTGGATCGAGCATAGGGATTGTTTGCGAGAACAAAACGACATTTCCGCGGAGAAGAGCGAACACTTGGGTTGGAACTGTGTATTGGCCAACATTATTGTTTTGCAGGAGGATGAATGCGGGCAGTCCAATTAGGATTGTGGAGAGGCACACAGCTTCAACATTAGCCTTGTTGATATTTTTTATGACTTGACGATGCTCACGAACAGCTGCATTGAAATACATCCGATGAATGTCTGCCAAGTCTTCAGCCGCTGGGTTGATCTTAGTAAGATGGAGAGCTGCAATTGATATCATCATGTTCAAGAGAACTGGATGATTGAAAGCTAGAGTCGGAGCACCTTTAGTCCAAAGATCGCGAACACCTTCATCGTGAATGGAAAGGAACCCTTTTTGGGCGGTCTCAGTACAAAAGTGATGAAGCAGGCGCATTTCAAGTAATCGACGTTCTTTTGTTTCACGACCCACTGTAATATCGAGCTCTCTGGAGGGATCAAGGTCATAAGGCGGATTGGAAGGGGACCTTGTATCTGCCGGTCGTTTTTGAACTGGTTCGGGATAGTGACATGATATTTCTCGGCGGACGCACGCATCACATGCTGGGCGTGCTTCGTTACACTTCGGATTTGATTAGCAACTCAGCCAACATCTGTTTCAAGTGTTTCATTCATTCGACTTTACCTTCACCTTCCGTCCTTTACATGCCATGCACCCTTGTCGAGACTTTCTATGGGCTCTAAGGCCTCTTGATACTGGGGTTGCCATTGTTATCTTTGAATATTGCAATGTTACATGAAATTGCTGCTGTTGAAACCCGATGACTCAGCCGTCAGGTTAGCAAGATCATGATTAAAATCAGATAATAGATCAACACGTGACCTGATCATCCAAGAGCCAACTTGTGGTCAGTTGTCCCAACAGACCTCATCCTTTTTTCGGCTTTTGATTCAAACGAAGTAGTTAATGGCAGCCTCAAAGCTCGCAAATGTGTTGCTGAAGCATATTCCAGCTATGCCGTTTCGTTTTCGAAATGCTCTTTTCACTTCTCCATGCAACCTCGTACAGATTTCAATTTGACACCGAAATATGTTGCCTGCCTTATTTTCTAGCTGGCCGAAGATTATAGAATGATCTTCGTAGAATGATTGCTTAGATCGCCTATTACGCTTGGGAGGTGATCGCTCCAGGTATCTTTTGTTCAATCTGAATGTGATGGCAGCACGTTCAATTACGGCAAGGCGTTAGCGTTGATCTATACTTGTGGCGAGAAGAAATCAATCACAAGTGGCCAAGTATTCGGCGAAGATATTGTTTGTTATGGACAAGATAGTTTTTTCTCCTAGGAATATGCTTTTTCCGCGCCGAATCCAATTTGGACACTATTGAGAACTTCCACAAATTCCACTTATTGCTCCAAAATAGTACTACATTTGCTGTCTGGATATTTTTTCTCCTGCTATTGTGAAGTTGTTGATTGTTCAAACTTTGCATTTGTCTCTTTGCCTCTGAGTCAAGTGACTGAGATATGGGCTTGACATGTTTTGCGTCGCTCTGTTAAAACAATCAATTGTGGAACCGCATTCAGCATAAGGAGAATAATAGAGACGGCATAATTTGGGTTAAGTTTTTCGTTGTTAGTTAACAGGCTAGGTGTGCTTAGTGGTTTGCGAAATATGCCCCTGAAGGTGTAATATCGGAAGGGCTTCGATATGAGGCAAAGCAAAAGTAAGCCAACAAAAGATCACCAGCTATAGGCAAAATCTACTATGTATGTCAGCGGCCCAGTTGCCAGGGTGTTTAATGTTTCCCCGGAACTTTTCCCAAATGGTTCTCTTTTGCAGTAGCATGTGAGGACATGTTGTTCACAGGTTTGAAAACTCTTTTCTTATGACCTTCAGACATCCAGTATCCTGTCCGAGGAAGACAGAAAATTTGTTCTTCTTATACCTGTGGTAGCTTTACAATCGATTCAAAACTGCTGATTTGCTTTGGAACAATTTAATCGATCATGGACACTATCAAGACCCTCGCTGAAGGAATACAAAATGCAGCAGCTACTGCAAATGAGGCTGGCCGCAAAGAACTGTTGGACTCTCTGAGAGATCTGCAATATTCTATCGAGAAGCCTGAAGATACAATGCAGAGAGTCATCCATTTGGTAAGATATGCGCTCTTCAACATTTAATCGCTTTATGATTGCACAAAGATTCAGCACACCTAATGCGTTCAAATCCTTCCCTATCAAGGAGTAATGCAAAATCTGGCCTGTAGAGAAACCACTCTTTGTCGATATAGGAGGAGCCTCAGGTCAACAATGTATCGAGTTTCGGAAAAGATTTCCTGATATTGAAGGTCGCGTTATATCCCAGGATCTACCCGGAGAAATCGAGCATGCCATGTCACAAGGTCTACCCGATGGAGTCGAGGCCATGGTTCGTGATTTCTACACTCCGCAGGTGTGTAATGAAAGGCCGTAGTCCAGAAAATGACTAACGCATACAGCAAGGAGCAAAATTCTACTACCTGCGTGCCATTCTCCACGATCATCTGGATGATAAAGCTATTCTCATTCTGAAGAATATCATGCAAGTCATGGAAAAAGATGCCTTAATCTTACTCGATGAAATGGTGTTGCCAAATTGCAATGTGGACTGGTTTGCTACGCAGACGGATTTGACCATGCTAGCGGCATTCGGTTCGATGGAGCGAACGGAAGCGCAGTGGAAAAGTCCTCTAGAAAGTGTGGGACTGAAGTTGAGGAGAACTGTTACTTATACGCAGGCTTTCAGGCTTAGCATAATTGCCGCAAGTCTTTGATTGGGTGGGATATATTTGATGCTAGAATCTTGAATATCAGATAGAACAGTAATGAACTCGAATGATAGTATTCCAGATTTCCATGCCTCGACAAGCACCCCAATTAATCATTTTGCTTCTAATCTTTACTTCTTACATAATATTAACATTCCGTTCTTATACTTGTCTGAATAGATCAGTTGATATTCACATCATTCCAATCCTTCGAAGTTCCAAAATACTATACCGCTACCACTACCTTTCTGAATTGACAAGACTGTCTTATTGGCACATATATGAGCTTACCTACCATCAGCTAACAAGTAAACAAAAAAACTGCCCAGGTGATACCGGTCAAAACCTCTCGGCATAATCAGCTCATACACCTTGCCTCTCAGCAGCATATAGCCTGGGCAAAGTGACTCCGAGAGAACCGAAAAAGCCCTGAACAGAGGTGAGATTCCATAGACTCTTTATGAATAAGTGATATTGACAGATACCCTAACCGGTTCCAACTGCTTCCAATTGTTACTTCGTTGCGTTCCAATCTCAAATTCATAGATACAATCCCAAGCCTCATAATGGTTTTCTCAGATTATTTACATTACAATAAAGATATATTTATCATGAGTCTTCCAAAAACAATGCAAGCTATCTATGCCTCCCGATCTTCAGTAACAGCACAGCTCCACCTCACTATCAAATCTTTACCGATCCCAACTATTACGCAGCAGGAATTAATCCTTCCGACGTTGCCAACGCAATACTTGATCGATACGGGGGGAATAAACCTATAGTTCCAGGTCGTGATTGTGCCGATACAGTTATTCAAGCCCCATCTTCCCCTCAACTTGAGGGTGTCGAGGTTTACGGAACTTCTGGTTGAGAACTTGGTCTTTCCGTTGATGGGACTCATGCCGAATATTTGGCGGTGCCTGTAGAAGGCTTGACTATCAAGCCCAAATGTCTCAGTTGGACTCAGGCATCGGCCGTGGGTGTTCCTACTCAACTGCTTATCTGCTGCTGGAGAAAGCTGCTGCAGGTGCTGGAGATGTGGCCCTGATTTTTGGCGCTAGAGGAGCGGTCGGAAAGGCTGCAGTAGAACTTACGAATGCCAAAGGGCTCAGGATCATTACTACATCGAGGATAGATGGTGCTCATGTAAATATTACATCGGATGAGAATTTGAAGAGCGTGTTGGATTCGAACAATGGGAGAGAACCTAGTATTATTCTTGACTGTGCAGGATCATCAGTATTGATGGAGAAGGGTTTTGCTATATTGGAAAAGTCTGGACGATATGTTTTCGTATCTGGCATGAGAGGAGGTGGACCAGAAGTAAAAATCGACGTCATGAAGATGCTTGTAATGGATCAAAGCTTGCATGGAGTCAATAGTTGGAGCGTTACCTTAGCTAGGACAAAGGATATCATGGATAATTTAGGGGAAATGTTCGAAGATGGAGAGATCAAAGGTCCCGAAGAAGAGTCTCTAACCAAAATCAAACTTACAGATGCGATTAACGCATACCAGGAGGTTGCAAAATTCGATGGAAAGAAATTCGTGAATACTGTGTAGGATCAATAGTCTAGTGTTGGCGTATATAGTAAATCTGGGATGCAATTATTTCCAGAATTTTGACTACTCAGGCTTCAAAAATGATGGTTTCTGACTTCACACTCAGAGACCGGAAACCTCGGAAATGTCTTACTGCGTCTTAAAACATCATTGTCATAACACGTGATTGTCATGCACGTGTTGACGCGTTTCGTGTTGTCTACATTCTTGTAGAACCTCGCCTTTTCTCCTGCCAACCTCATCCTCACTTAATGTGCCGTCCTTGAATTGAAAAGAGCCGACGATAGGTTAGTCAAATTACCTCTGTTCTAGCCGAGCAGAAAGGCAACTTCGATTGCGAGCAATTTCGATTGAGTCAATTTCTTGGAACCACATATTCATCAAGGAAAAGTATTATCCAATACGAGCTTTACAAAAGCTCTTTAGTAAATGCCATCTAACACTATGTTTTCGCACTGCTTTCTTCGTATCCGTTCTTTCATCCCACTCTCATACAGTTCAAATGCCGAAAGCACTCCAGTGATTAAAGACTTGGAAGTTGGAATAGATCCTGCAGCAAAATCATAATAAGATCGGAGTTATCAATGAACAGTATTTGATTGGTACCAGAAAACGATTAATCGTAGCAAAAAATCGATCTTTAGACATGGTGGACCTCAGATTTTCAGATCCTTTGTAGAGCCTTCTTAATTGGCTGGCAAGCTGACTAATACTCTATGCTTAACCGTTCATGACATCAACCTGAATATCCCATCCACTTATATTCACCATTTGTACGGAGCACAAGCTCCTTCCCAACAACCCACCCAAAATGCGACACTGAAAACATGGATGTTTTTTCAAATATCCAATAGTGTATTCGCTGTATTGTGAGAAGTTCTCTGGAAAGAGAAAAGAGGACAAAAGATTTTGCGGGGAACATGTTCTACGACACTCTTATCGCCGCAAAGCTGCGTCACCCCATGATGTAATGTGCTTGACTAGAATATGGGATTGTACCAAGAATCCCATATTCTATTTATTTGTCCATCTTCTTTGCTTTTCTTCATTGTCGAAGTTTATTTTGATCTTCTGTTCACAAAAATCCAACTTTTATCATTATAATGCAGTCAGTTATTGGAGCTACAGTACAGAAAGCAGGAGCAGCAGTATCTTCTGCCATGTCCGACAAGAAGACAGCAGATATGCTGCCGGAGATGAGAGAACCAAATACAAAGGAACCTCTTACCAGTGACTTTGGTGTCAAACACGGTAATCATGACAATTGGCTATCTGCATCAACCGGCGATCGTCAAGGTCCCTTGTTGTTAGAAGACAACTTTGGTAGAGAGAAGATTATGAAATTCGATCATGAGCGTATACCAGAAAGAGTTGTTCATGCACGTGGAGCTGGAGCTTTTGGTACCTTTAAACTCTACGAGAGCGCCGATGTATGTATCTCATTCTTCTACCCGACGTCAAACTATCAGAACTAATCAAGCACCTATTAGGATGTTACAAACGCTGGAGTTCTCACAGATACTTCTCGCACCACACCTGTTTTCATCCGCTTTTCGACAGTCTTAGGTTCTCGTGGCAGTGCTGATACTGTTAGAGATGTACGAGGGTTTGCCGTGAAGTTCTATACTGAAGAGGGCAACTGGGATGTTGTTGGAAACGACATTCCTGTCTTCTTTATCCAGGACGCTATTAAGTTTCCCGATGTCATTCACGCCGGAAGTGAGTGCTCTTCTCTCAGACGTGCATTCATGGTAACTAATTTTGCATAGAACCTGAGCCAGACAATGAGATCCCTCAAGCACAGTCTGCACACAATAACTTTTGGGATTTCCAATTCCTACATACAGAGGCAACCCATATGTTCATGTGGGCTATGTCAGATCGAGGTATTCCAAGATCATACCGTATGATGCAAGGTTTCGGAGTGAACACGTATACTTTAATAAATGCTGAAGGCAAACGATCATTCGTGAAATTTCATTTCACTCCGACTCTAGGTGTTCATTCACTGGTTTGGGATGAGGCTTTGAAGATCGCTGGTCAAGACCCAGATTTCCATCGCAAAGATCTTTGGACCGCCATTGAAAGTGGATGTTATCCTAAATGGAAATTTGGTATTCAAGTCTGCGACGAGAGTCGACAAGATGAATTTGACTTCGACATCTTAGACGCGACTAAGGTTTGGCCTGAAGATATTCTTCCAGTCCGATATATCGGTGAGCTAGAGCTCAATAAGAATGTCGATGAATATTTCACACAAACTGAACAAGTTGCTTTTTGCACTGCCCATCTTGTTCCTGGCATCGGCTTTAGTGACGATCCACTACTTCAAGGCCGCAACTTCTCTTACTTTGATACTCAACTCTCAAGACTTGGTGTTAACTGGCAAGAACTTCCTGTCAATCGACCAGTATGCCCTGTTATGAACAACCACCGAGATGGTCAAATGCGACACCGAATCACAAAAGGTAAGATCAACTACTGGCCCAACCGAGAAAGTGTTGTTCCTCCATCCAAGCAATCGGAGGGTGCCTATTACGAATATCCCGATAAGGTTGTAGCCATGAAACAACGACTCAACTCCACAAAATTCAAGGAACATTTTTCCCAAGCTCAATTGTTCTGGAACTCAATGTCTGAAGTTGAAAAGTCCCATATTATCAATGCTCTAGGTTTTGAACTTGATCATTGCGACGACCCCGTTGTGTATGAGCGTATGGTTGAGCGTCTGACTGACATCGATCTCGGACTTGCACAAGCTGTGGCTGAGAAAGCTGGTGCCCCTACACCTACTCAAGCCGGACGTCCAAATCACGGCAAGAAGGCCAAGGGCTTGTCACAATTTGACTTCACCCCCGAAGCTCTAGGCTTGCCAGCTACTATTGCTTCTCGTATGGTCGCAATCATCATTGCAGATGGGTTCAACTTCATCGAATACGAAGCAGTAAAGGGAGCATTGACCGCAGCCGGCGCTCTTCCATTCACCATCGGCCCCAAGAGACAACCAATCAAGAGTTCCGGTGGCAAGAGTGTAAGCGCAGATCATCATTTCGAAGGTATGAGAAGTACCATGTTCGATTCGATCTACATTCCTGGTGGCGAACATGTCTCGACTCTACTTAAACAAGGACGAGTAATTCACTGGGTTCGCGAGGCCTTCGGTCACTGCAAAGCTATCGGAGCTACTGGCGAGGGAGTCAAACTCGTACAAGTTGCATGTGCAGTTGATGGTATGACCTTCAGTACCTCCAGTGAAGTGGTTGATTCGTATGGTGTGGTGACTGCGCAAGGTTTGGGCAAAACTGAGGAGGGATTGAATATGGTGAAGGGAGCGAAGAATTTCCTGGATGCGTATACGTATAATATCTCGCAACACAGGAACTTCCAAAGAGAGTTGGATGGCTTGACTAGCATGGTTGCTTTTTAAGTTGGCTTCTGTGGGTGAATGATTAGTATAGGGCTTGGTATGATGGAGTAGCTGCTGTGTGCTATCAAGGCTGGGAATCTTCGTTTCCAAAAACTTTTGCAAGGATACCTTTATGTTTGTTAGTTGTGGTAATGGTAATAGTTAATAATGTCTTTTTCCATGAACTTACTTGTCCTGCTATATGCTCAAATCTCGCAATAGAGAGATGAAATCTGATCTACTAATGTAGAACGCTGATCATACTTGTCCAAGTGAAGTAGTCAGTTTGCTGACCAATATGAACAACAACTTATCACTGCCCGGTTTCATTTCTTTCTGAGAATAATCGTCTTTCTCCTCATCTCTACTTCTTAACTGAAATTATCCTTCTAATTCACTTCTTTCGCGCAATGCATAATCCTGTGGAGAAAATGGCAGTCTTGCTGCAACATTCCAATCACCTACAAGCGAGGTGATTGGAAAGTTGAACTTCAGCATATGATGGGATATTTAGTGATGTAGTTATGTATGGAATAGGGAATTCACTAGAGAGTAAATCCCAAAGTATATTTGGCTACCGAGGCTGGCTGGGTCGGCTCGACTTGATGGCTTGGAAGAAGTTGTTGAGAGAAGAGGAGAGCGGTGTGATGTATGTCTGTTGACTATTAGGGAGAAGGTTGTTGTAGTTTGGTATGTATGTGTATGGCTCGCTGCTGTGGATTGCTCTCTTGCTTGAACTCTGGATGTCTTCTTGGCCTGTGCAAGATCAAGTGATAGAAGTGGAACGAAGATCATACTTAGTGTTGAAACTTAGTGTTGTAATCACACTCAGACCATGAAGTCCACTGAGATAGTAGCGAAATGACAACATTCACAAACGTACCAATTTCCGGTGCGCTTTGCTTCCACTTCAAAGAAATAGAATTCCAACTCCACATATCATTTCCTTCATATCAGCTGCGGAACATATAAATATATCATTCACCGCTGCGCCCAAAAAAAACCTTGAAGTTAACTACCTTACCTATCACGTTGTTCTTCTTCGCCTTCCAATTACCACCAACATTCACTGTTTAACCAATTCACAATTTTCTCGGTAATAGAATTTTCGCTAGCAGAACTTTGCACCGCTGATATTCTCAAATTTCACATCTGAATTCTTTTTATTCTGTCCTCAGTCTCGACTTTCAGATTCGAAGAGTATCCGAAGACAAAATCTGTTCTAGGAACATCTTGATCCTAACTGAAAGTAAAGAATTTCTTTGCTACAAAGTTCTCAACTCTCTGATCTTTTTCAACAAATGTCAGTCTGAGCTTCAACTGAATAAAGAAAGCAAGTATCTTTCCTTCGCACAACAAGAAAAAAAAGTTCTTTTCCTCTAACAATTTTTCTTCTTTCTCTCAAGGAATGAAAGATAAACCTTCACCATCCTACAAATATTTCGCGCATAAATGGGTTCGCTCTCAAACTACACGCGGATATATCTCACCTTATGCGAAACCCGCTTACCCCGCTTTACGAAGGTATAAATCTATGGTCGAACCATCTCTTCTCGCCGTTTCAAGTACTTCTCCGCCTTTACCAAACAATCCTCGTACGCGATCATATCTCTCATCACTCATCCCTAATCCCCATCAGTACAACTCACCTTACAACCAACCTACCATGTCTCCTCCATCTCGAACTCAGCGAGCAAAACGCACCCGCAAGAACGGCCCCGGCAAATTCAACAAATCCGCCGTTCTTCCCCCACCCATTTCACCACCATCTCCCCCTCCCCCTCTCCACCCCAACAACCCCAAGACCCCGCTACTCACTAACCTATATTCTCAACGCCCCCACCCCAGCTGTCCACCACCACCATCACAACGACTCCCCCATCCGCTCCCTCCAAAGTCTTCCCGAAAAAGTCCGCCATCTAATCTGGAACTACGCGCGTTCCCGCACCATCTGCATCACCATCTCCGACAATCTCATCTGCAGTCGCTCGCCCAGCCCCATCACCTTCCGCATTGATCAGGAATCACGCTCTGCAACAATAAATCACTATTCTGTGCACCCACACTTTTATATCCTTGGTACACAGAACAAGAACAAGGATGAGAGGATTCACTATCCGTTTTTTGATCCCAGTGTGGATAGCGTGGTATTGAATGATATTTCTTTGGGGTCCAATCCCGCTCTGAATAGTAGTAGTGGTGTTCTCGGATTCTACAACTCGAATACGAGAGAGCTTATATATGGAAAGAGAGAAGTGCTAGATTATGGACACTTTGGTGTTCTGCAAGCTTTGCATGTTCCTGCACGAACATGGGACTGGAACCGCATTCAGCGAGCGCCAAGGACGGAGATCAGGTTCCGAAATTTGACGGAGATTGTTCTGGAGGGGGGAGCGATGGGTTTGAGGACAAAGAAAGATGTGAAGAAGTGTAAAGAGTTCATCAGGGGTTGCTTTGAGAGAAGCGTTGAGGAAATTGGCGATATGGGTAGGATGGAACTTGCGAGCCATGAGATGGTGAGAAATGCAAGGACTGCGAATATGGAGATCAAGGTTCCGGAGGTGAGGGTCATTATGCCTAATGGCCTTGACCATGAATGGATGTTTGAAGAAGATAAGTTGGGGATGGAATCGATCGAGGAGCGGATGTGGGTGATGAATTTTATCAGCAAGGTTAAAGCGGGTCGTTGACGGTGATGGATAACTGCTTGGCGTTGAGTTCATGGGAATAGATGACCTGCTGTTATGATGGCAGATTTCGCGGACATGATGGTTGTCCCTAGAGGGCTTTTTATGAATACAGAATATTAGCATAATCGTAATAGACCTTGAGTTGCATAATTGATCTTATCTTGAAATGTGAAATGTGAGTCCAAAAGTTGTAATACACCCACCCCACTTGTAAACTTGTACACCCCCTTGGAGATACTACGTATGTTAGTTAGTAATGCCAAATGCCACGAAGCAAAAACATGAGAATTTCAATAAGACAAGAACTCTACTTTCAAAAACAACAGCATAAATCAAGGATGTCACAAATAACTTCCGTAATATCGACATAAATTTCAATCGTACAATAAACGTTTCCCTCCATAATGCATCAAATCATTATTACAAAGATACAGCCATCAAGCATACTGTAATCTCTCCTCAGTCCATCCCGGCTGCAAGTATGTCGCATCAAAGATGGGCTCAAAACTACTTGCAAAAGCCCCCGTAACCTTCCATCCAACTTCAACACCCATACTCTCACCACCCTCTTCTTGTTTCCAAACACTCAAACCAATAACATTATCCCCATCATAATTTAAGATTCCAGGTGGCACAGGGAATTCAACCTGGTTTCCAATCCAGGGACTAAATCGTCCATATTGGTATCCGTTCACGAAAAGAAGGACCCGAAGAGCTGCGTTCGAGGGAGAAGCGTTGAGTGTGAAAGATATTGCTACGTCGAGACCTGTAGGAATGGCTAAAGGAACGGTGGTGCGGTAGAATGTTACCCCGGCTGAAGAAGAAACATTGCTTGGAGATGCGGAGGACCATTCACTGTCGTCGAAACCTGGAAGATGCCATCCGAGACGTTCGGCGTAGAGACCACCCTCTGAGAGAATACCGCGGACAGGATCGATTGCTGTATCTGGCTTACCAGCCGTACCGGTGACTTTCCATGATGTGAAAGTCTTGGCAGAAGAACTGATCAAGGTTGCATTATTGATTCCTCGTGGATTGAGTGCTTCACTGGTCTCATCATGACCAGAGTTATCCTGAAGAACGAGAAGGATATTGGTAGAATTTGAGTTGACAGTGACATTTCCGAAGGATAGTGTCAATTCTCCTGTATCTGGGTAAGCAGCTCCTAAATATGAGCCGATGAACTCGCCATTCAGCCAGGCACTATAGCCAAATGCACGACCTCCAGTGACGCTGAGATATACTCCGCTTGCTGACCCTTCGAACCTTCCACGCCAGAGATGATTTCCAACATGGTATCCGTAATCATCAATGTAGAGCACTGGAAGTGTTTCTGGTTTGGTTGGATTTGAGGTGTTCATGTGATCGGCAGCAATCCACCAGCTATCATCATAAGTAGATAGACGCTCAGGTAAGCTGTCATTTGCCTTCCAGCCAGAAATCTCTGGTAAAGTCAAAGAATCAAGTGTAGGGCCGGTAAGACTACCGATCAAGCTACCGTAGTCTGTCTTACTTGTCGTAATGGATTGACCGTTCCATGTGACTTCGCTTACGGCCTTAGGAGGGAAGACCTCGATCTGTGTCGAAGTTCCATTATTGTCTCCGGTGAGATCCAACGTTGTACCGTCGGAGGAGTAAGCAACGCTTCGGACTAGATTTGGGCCTTGAACGAAAACAGTTTCGTTCGCAGGACTGAATGGATCTGCTGTGAGAACTGGGACCCAGAACTCGTATGCGTATGATCTATCCATGACGAGAACACGAAGTCCATCGTCAAATGTCAAGACACTGATACCTTCGGATTGAGAGATGGTGACGAGGAGATCATCCCCTTGTGGATAGAAGCCAACGGAAGAACAACCTCCACAGCTGGAAACTTTGCCGAACTTCGCACCAGTGATAACAAATTCGCCAGCTTCACCAGTTGGCATCCAGAGAGCTAGAATGTCTTGCTCATCCACAACAGAATGGGACAAGACTTCAGCTGTAGAGTACAATAGCGAGTGAGATCCAAAGCCGAAGTCAGTGACGATGATCTTAGATTGGAAACCATTCAAAACAATGGGCGCAGCTTTTTGAGGAATTGTGAATTCCCCTTTGGATGTGTTAGCGTGGATGTAGAATTCCTCCCTGGTACCAACCGTAGACTCCTGGTGGATGGTAACATAAAACGCGCCATTTGTGTCTGGGTTACGGAGTTCGGAGTACACGATTTCTGGATTGGTAGAAGCGGTTTGGTTTGTGCCAATTCGGTCAGTCTTTGTCAGATCTTTGGCTACACGCAGGAATTGACCGAACAGTTTGGTTTCGGCATACTTGTCGTTGATCATTCTGTTTTCAGAGATTGGACTCGAGTAATCGTAACTAGTTGCCACAACAGGGGCGGCTAACCAACCCCAGTTTGTTCCTCCGTAAAGCATATAAAGACTCATCGCTGTCACTCTTTGTCCAACGTTATTACGATAGAAGAGATTTGCGAAATCGGGGGGAGAATTTTCTGGGCATCCACCTTCGGGGCCACCCCAAGGATTGAAACTACCACCTTGAAATTCTGGAAGAAATGATGGCTGAGTTGGTGAAATTGCTTCGAAATGATCAAAATAATCGATGACGTTGAAAGGTTTGTATGCTCCATTCGTGGAATCGCACTCTGTCAAATTGCAAGTCCAGCATGCTGGATAAGAATCCATACCATAGATGTCTACGGAACCATAGCCATCGTAGAAATCCTTTGACCACGAGTCTGAGTTGAGATTAGGATCGTTGGCTTGGAATGGTATCGTAATACCTTGAGCTCGTGCAGAGGCTTCCAATGCTTCCATATATTGAACAGAAGATAAATTGGGTATTTTGTTGGATGGAGTTCCACGCCATTGTGAGCCCAGCTCGTTCTCAATTTGATAAGTGAGAACATTTCCTCCATTGGTAAGTTGATATGGGGCAACTATAGAGGCAACTTTTTCCCAGAAAGGTGTCCAGGCTTCAGTATAGCGAGTATCATTATTTCGGAGAGCTCCATAAGCCCCAGTCGTCAACCATAACGGAAAGGCTCCAGCATTGGACTCGGCATTGACATAAGGTCCTGGGCGAAACACAACATACTAAACATGTGATTAGCCAAGTCATCTGGTTGTTGAACTGAAATTAGATCATGGAAGCCATACCATTCCCAATTCTTTAGCAAGGTCAAAGATCTTTGTGAAATCGTGTGCTGCATTCTCGAAGTCGAGCGTTTCAGGGTTTGGATTATGAAAGTACCAGTGTGTATAAATCGCAAAGGTATTGAAACCAGCAGCCTTAATCTTTTGTAGAACATCAACCCACAGTTCCGGCACGGGAATTCGCCAATAATGAAGCTCGCCAGACCATAAAAAGAAACGCTGTCCATTAACTATCATACTATAGTGATCCCATTCAATCTGCGTAGTGAGACCATTGTTGTGTTTTGGCCATGTGTCATTTGTACTGTTCTGGGCGACGCATGACCCTAGAGTCAATGCCCACGCAAATAGTGACTGCAGCAGCATGGTGCGTAGGAGATGAGCAAAGGATCTGATTGCTTGCTCGAGAAAAACAACATCTAGGATCAAGCTCTTTTATACACAGTTTTTCGTATATATGACTTCATAAGTGCTTAATATGTACCTTTCGTATAAGCGACCCACTACGAGGTAGTCCAAAGTCGTTTGTACCGAGGATGGTAATATATAACCAGTATGCATATCTTTAAGCTGCCCAATAGAACAAGAGGAATCGGACGATTCTGGCCCGAACATGGATTCTGAGAGGGGTAGTACATTGGCGATCTCGTAGACATATTAAATTTTCGAAATTCCGGAATATGGTTCTACCGCAAATTGCCAATCAAATAAACCAAGGGGAATCAAGCCACATAAGTCCCGCAGGAACCAAATTGTTGGCAGATTCCTTGGCAGGCGACAACTTCGATCGGGACGGTGTGGATTTCTTTGACAGTTGTATGGTTACCCCGCGAGATCACGGATAAACTTGATATATTTTTTCCACCCAATAAATTGATGTATACATCAAGTTGTGGAGTAAGTAGTTTCTTAGCCAAATAGAATTTGACAGATCAAAGAATGGAGGTGGCAGGTGCAGGGGGGTTTCTCCGCTTTTCGGCACTACCCGAAGCGTGCACGTGATACTGTGCTGACATCTCTTCAGATGCCGATCGATATTGGAGATGGTCAAGTGCGTAAGAGGATCTGAAGGCAGTGGAAACTTGAGAACATATATGATATACCCCCATCAAGCCACTCTCCTAATAAGCGGTAACACGACCAGATAGAATGGAATCTGATCAGGTGATACACAGGATCGTTTCCATTGATCGAGGGCTCAAAGGTTCGGGGTGAGAGGGCGATAAGGTATGATTTGATTCTCCAGATAGCACTTCTCTTTCTTTTCCACTTTCTTGTTCTCTTAGTCGTTTTTCCTTATGAACGCATCGATATGATAGATGAGCCTCCAGCCTTTAAAATCGGATTTTCCAATAAACATCCAGAGAGATTCGTTAGAGAGTAGGAGGCATTTCCATCTGGCTCTCCATATTAGGCAATTCGACAACGGAACAATAAATGGCCAGCCAGAATATGTTGATATTCAAGGCGGACAACAAACATTACCAGGATTCTGTAGGGAGTTGGTGTTGAGCTTTCATCTAGGTACATGAGTGAGAATGATCTCAGGGTCAAAGAGGTACAGATGGGAGAATAGAGTGTATTGAATCGTGTAGAGTAAACAAAGACCAATATGAAAACGTTGTAAAGGTTCTCGTGAGATTCAGATAAACTGGATCATGTTTGACCAAGGTCAAATAGTTAGTTGAACAACGGTTGCGCAAATTCCATGAAAGGCTTTCCATACATACTTCCCGTGTAGGAGAGTAGCTGTCAATAGAACTTTGACATTCAATTATGCAGTTGAAAATTGAATTGTTTTTTCCTCTCGTGCTTAATTCGTAACTTGATGCCAATCTTATATCACTCTGTCTGTGAGCTCCCCCGTCGGCCGTTGAATTCTGCCATTGCTTATGTAATGATTAAATTTGTTGGTGCAACATCACACAACATAGGCCTTTTTGCTCACCAATAAGCAATACCAAATACCTCAAGATTTCTTCATTCTCTCATCCCTCCCATCTTGTTGGAACAGCAATCAGAAAACTGTTTCTTCATGCAGACCAATATATCTTGACAACTTTTCTCCAAGTCTTTTTTCATCATCGTACAAGATACCGCAACTCATGGACAATAGAACGCCAAGACTCAAAATCTGCCAGGGCTAGTCACTATAAAAGTGGATAGCAGCATCGAGACGCGAGGAGAGTATCAAATCGCGTACTCCGAAATCAATGGTTGACACGATCAACTCCAGACTTCCTCCAATCTGTAGTATTCAGATCTCAACTCTACATTTTGGTTCATTAAACCCTATCTCCGATACCTCGCATCGTAACACTTTCACTTTCCGCGAACTATCGCATTATAAGATCATTCACTTCCCGATTATTTACTATTTACATAAAATCACGTTACTTGAGGTCTTCTTGACCCCCCATCAACTAGTGAGGCAATCAAAATCGGTTTCGAACAAAACCTCAATATACTACCATGCGTTGGATATTCGATTTCAAAACCTGCTTGTCCAAGAGGTAGCATATCGCCGCGATATACGTGTAGAATTGATTTTGAAGCATAATCGGATTCAAGATGTCGGGAGTTAATGGGGGCAGCGCATCGCGCTCAATCGGTGGTGTTCGTGGTTATCCAGCTCCATCCGTACTTATTGATCTCACAGATGATAGTGATCAAGATAAGAAGCGCAATGGGAATCGTAGTGAGAAGCGTCACGAGGAATCGAAGGAAACTCCTAGGGAGAATTCCAGAGAGACACCCAAAGAGAAAAGTAGCAAGTCTTTTATTGACTTGTGTTCATCGTCTGATGATGAACCTTCTGCGCCGGTAACATCACAAGCAAAGGCGAAGTCAACCAAATTTGCAGCGAGCAGTTCAGCAAAATCGACAGAGAAGCTGCCGGTAAAGACACAAAAGTATAAAACTGGGGGGACATATAGCCTTTCGTCGGGCGGTGAATCTGACGATGAATTCCATAAAAACCTCCCAGAATCAATTTCAAAGCAGAATAGCGGTGAGCGTAGGAATGATTTTATAAATAGAAGATCGCATTCGAGCTCGAAGTCTACTGAAGCGAGGATTGCAGGCAACATTTCTTCTCCACGACAAGACACTAGCCGCACCGCCCGCAAGACAGTGGTCTCAAATCGAAAGTTTAACTCGGGACCAGTTGGTCCAGTTGGCCCCGATTTGAATCAAAATAACAACACTTCTACGCCCAGTTCAACTGGATCAACTACGGCAGCATCGAAAGGTCTTACAATTGCAACAAAGCCATCAGTCATTTCCAATCTTTCCCACGTTATGGGCCAGCCGTCAAGTCCAAAAGCTACTGCGCAGCCAGCATCCGATCTCTCGAAGATGGATTCAAAGATTGCCAAGGAAAGTAGCACAGAAAGGCTCCCATTCAGCAACGCTGTTGCACCGCTCCCTTCGGACATTTCATCTCTGAGAAACGACCCTGCTACAAGTAGTGTTCCTACTAGACTGGTGCCTAAAAGAGTTTCAGCGACAATCAGGCAATACTCTAGATCGCCCGAGGTCAAAGAATCTCCACTTTCTACGAGAAGGTCCATATCAAGAATATCAGACAAACAAGATCAAAATGATAACGATGAATTTGTAAGTCAAAACGATCTTGCAGCTCAGAAGGAACTTGAGTCGCGAAAGGCTACAGGGCACTTGTGGGGATCCCGGACGAGAGGAGCAACTGGGTCATCTGAATCAGCAGCAAAGCGAGACAAGAGCCCCAGCTCATTTATAACAAATGAACTTTCTGAGCCCAATCGTAAATTCGTGGGAAGAGATATGGAGAATGGTGCCGATATTCATAAAATCCGAAAGGGTCCCTATCAAAAGAAGGGGAACCATGGCGGTGCAAGACGAGGGCCAGCTTGGGAAAAACAGAAGATGGAAAGAGAGAGCGCTCAAAATACCGATGAAGAAGCTGTAGATGATAACATTGATGATGGTGACGATGATGTTCGGTCAATATTTCAGAAGAGAAGGACAAGAGGTCAAACGTCAAGCAACGTAGTTTCAAGGCCTGCATCCACCCGCTCCAATTCACCCTCTCTCAGAGTGCATGAAGGGGAGAGACGTGGACGATTGGCATCATCTATCCCTAGATCAAGAGTAAAGTCCCCAATCCTAGATGCATCGTCTGACATGGTATCGCGAGAGTCGTCCGCAAAGGAGATCAAAGCAAGTTTGGTAAGACTAGGGGAGATAGGAATGGAAGATTGGGGGTTCAGTCTTGAGCGTCACTTGGAGAAGTCACAGTTGCGGCCTCTTGCAGCGTCAAATATATCTTTACATGATGATGACGAGAATCCTTTTGCATCTTTCACAGCGCTCGACGAAACTTTTGGTGAAGCTATCAATCTAATCACACGAGTATGTTTTAGTGAAATCATGTATTTCAGTATTTGCTAACCGTAACAGACATCCAAGAAAGCGAAAACGTCAAATTACGTATGCCCACTGATGATGGGAGATGGTGGCGTAGAGCGAACGCCGAGCTACACTCATCACATCAATGTCACACGGAATCATATAACAGGGGATGATGATATACTTCGGTATGTTCCACTGGTTGTTCAGAATGAGGAGAAAGCTATGAATAAATTCGAAAGGGAGTTGAATACAGCCTACACAGAAAGGCTTGATAACCCAAGAGTAAAAGAACGAATAACCCAAATAAATAGGCGAGTGGTTGTCGCATTAAAAAATATAGGATTCGACAACAACTGTGATATGGACACGCTCGTTCAATACTTCTTGGGACATCAATCTGAAAAAATACCATATCCTATGAGGGAGAAACAATTGGTTCTCAAAACACTTGGTGGTCCTTTATCTGGCCACTCATTGAAGAGAATGGCTATGGTTGCTGGGGTCTTGGCCGAATACTTTAAGATTGATTTGGAAACCGTTATCTTATCTCAATCCCAGTTCAAAGCTTACATTGAGAGATCAACTTCGGAGTTACACAAACGATCTGACGAACCATCAGCTCGGCTAGAGACAACTGCCCAATTTACTTGTTTGATATGCCAAGGTGCTGCATGTACAACGCATGGTGAATATGATTATCAAAAAATCAATAAGGGCATTCCTAGTGAAGAGAATTCCTCTGAAATTGGTTCTCCTCAGCAGTCATACTTCAATAAGTCTGATTACGAGTATGCGTGGGAGAAATCTATCATGCATTTGCCAGATGTTTTACGGAAATATAACGGCCGAGACCATACTGATGAGGATTGGCATCCAGAGCTTTGGAACACAGAAAAAGACATTGTCGAAGCATGCAGTGATGAATGTTACAGTGGATGGAAGGATTGGACCAACTATTCCTGGAACGAAGGAGAAGAAAATGAGTTGAAAGACGCACTTATAATAAAACCCAGCAGACCATGCGTTCTTGTGGACATTCTCGAAAAGCCCTGTTGGCAGATTTACTCCAAGATTCTGGAGCTCGAGGACAAAGCCCCTATGAGCAGAAGTAAGAGTCATCAGCCGAGCGAGCGAGTAGAGTGGTACAATCCCAAAGCCGTACCTCGCAATCGTGGCCTCAAACCGGGTTGGCAAGATAGCACCATGGCGCACTTGCCCGAACTACGCTCCCAGCCTGGTCCGTGTGTACATGAAGGGCCCTGTAGTCGGGAGATGAAATGTTATTGCGCTCTCAATAATCTGCTCTGCGAACAATTCTGTGGTTGCTCAGATCGCTGTGAACGACGATTCGCGGGTTGTTCTTGTCATTCGACAGGTCTTGCTTGCGCCTCTGATACATGCATATGCTTTCAAATGAACCGCGAATGCGGCGATCAATGCAATACCTGTGGAGCAATTACTCGAATACGACCGCAGAGCCGTCATAAGAATGAACTTTTTCAGTATGGGTGTCAAAATATAGCTTTGCAACGGGGCGTGAATAAGAAACTGATTCTCGGAAAATCTCCAATCGAAGGGGCTGGCTTTGGGCTTTTCACTGCAGAACCTGTCAAGAAGGGAGATTTCCTAAGCGAATATACCGGAGAATTGATTTCGGATAACGAAACCGAACGCAGGGGAGTGGAATATAATGCAAAGTTCATGAGTTTCCTATTTAACTTGAATAAAGAATGGACTATAGACGCTATGCGGATGGGAAACAAGACAAGATTCATAAACCATGCGGAATCAGAAGCCGATGGAATGAACTGCGCGGCAAGGATTTTGTTGGTCAATGGAGAGCATAGGATTGCGTTCCGGGCTACTCGAGATATTCTGATTGGGGAAGAACTACTTTTCGACTACGGTCCCAAGTTTGCGGAGCTATACGGCTTGAATAAGAAAGGTGGAAAGGGGAAAGGAAAAATGCCCAAGACGAATAAAGCCACGTTGAATAGATTGGGTGGAAATAATGGTAAAGGAACGGTGCCGGGAACAGTAGCAGCGAAGAGAAAAGGGTGGCAGAAAGGAAGACCAAGGAAAGCGAGTAAGAAGGCGAAAGTTCATGAATATGATGTTGCGGGGCCATCGAACGCTACATACCCTGGTGAGGAAGAGGCTGGCAACGGCGATGAAATGATGATGGATACTGCTCGCAATCTCAATCTCAACGACAACATATTACAAGATAGCGATGCCGAAGACGAGGTGTTGCGAGGTCAGGGTTCAGATATCGAGATGGGAGATGCGGAAGAAGATGAAGATGAAAATGAGAATGAAGATAGCGATGAAGACACACCAGACTTCGCGGTGAGAAGAACAGCGCGTCGGGCAAAGATTCCTCTGAGGTATACGCGATGAAGAAGGGGGCAAAAATTGTATCGCGGGAGAGATCTTGGTATATAGCTGTCGTGCTTTTTTCTTCTCGAGTAGCTTTTTATGTATCTATATTGAAGTGTGTATAGTGTCGTATTGGAGAGGTGGCTGCATGATGGGCTGGTGGACTGGTGGTTTGTTATTAAGAATTGTGGGCAGATGGATATAAAGCAATTAAGTACATAGGTACATACATACATAATGGAACGAAGTTTATATCTGATGCGGTTCTTTACTTCACTTGTATAGCAATGAGCTTGAAAGTTTTCCGGCGTGTTGCGAATTCTTCGTGATGTGGCTATAGTCTCGAGATGATACAATCGAAACTTCTATGTAGATGCACAAAAACTTTGCAGAGCAAAAATCAATAGTTCACAGAAAAAGGTAAAATACTGATGAATTGTAATGTCAACATTCGATCATTTGAAACAAATTTAACGAACTGAATATAGGTATATATAAGCTAACCCAAAAATGTAGCTACAACATTAGCAAACTCCTCAGGCTTTTCGACCATCGGTAAATGTCCCGCTCCCTCAATAACCTTACACTCAACACCCTTTCCATAATTACCCGCCATCTCTTTCATTGTCTTTGGTAAAACACCATCACTGCCACCAACCACAAATAAGGCCTTCTCAACCCCTGGATTCCTCATCTCTTCTCTAATATCATACTGATAAAGAGCCTTTACACCTTTCTGGAAACCCTCGAAACTATTTTCCTCAACCTGTTTTTTCACATCCTCAAATCTCTTCTTCAACGTCTCGTTCTCGTAATTTTCCGCTACGAACCATCTGCGCGTTGTGACCTCCGCCAATTCTGAGCCTACAATCTGTTCATCGTTAGATGATTTGGCAGATTCGGCGGCAGACATGGCGATTCGCTCATCCCAGGCTTTGGGGTTGGAAGGAGGAGCATAGGCATTTGTATCGCAGGATATGAAAGCATTGATGCGATTGGGGTATTTAAGTGCAGTGTTGAGAACGGTGACACCACCGAGTGAGACACCGATTAGACACGCTGCTTTGGGAACACGCAGAGTATCTAAGATGTGGATGATGTCGGAAGCGAGAAGATCAACGGTTACGGGTAAAGAGCCGGCGTTGGATGTGCGTCCACGGGAGTTGTAGCGGAGAATGCGGTAATTTTTGCCAGTGGGCGATGCAAGGAATGCTTGGATGAAGGGTGTCCAGATTGAATAGTTTACAAGGATGGAATTGCTGAGGATAATAAGGGGAGCAGCTGGGTCAGAAGATCCTTCGAGTCGGTATGCAAGATCAACTCCATCTTTTGTTGTTATGTAGGACTCGATGGCTCCCCCTTCAGCAATGTTGTTTGGTCCAGTGCTTGTTTTCCCGTCAATCGATTTCCAATTCGTTGAATAGGATTTTGAAAAGTTAGAGATATCTCGGGGTGCGGCGCCGAATGTATAGTATAAATTGTATTGCCTAGAATTAAAGGAATTCAAAGCGGTCGATGTGATTTTCTTGGCCCATTCTGTCGAACCAACAGCTTTAAATGCTTCCCCAAATGCGTCGTTTTGAGGAGCGAATTCAGTAACATTTAAATACTCCTTTCCTTCTTTGCCTCCCAAGATACTGCTTGTAACAAAGCGCCTTGTACGTCTCCAACCTGGAATCTTCGCAATCATTGATAAATGCTCTTCTTCCATCCACTTATTGAATTCTTCATCAAATTCCTCCTTGACTTCTGCTGTAGAAGTCACCACGTAATTCCCCTCATCATACCCCACTTCCTCCACTTTCTTATATCCGTCAATTTCCTTGCCACTAATGTAATCATACAATTTCCTGTCCACCTTAATCTGTGCCATTGTTTCCTTTTCTCTATCGGTCTTGACTTCGGGCCCGCGGAGTCGGAGATAGGTATCGGTGTTCATGGCTGCCATATCTGTGACATCGTAAATGGCCATCCATTCTGGATGAGATGTAGAGGCTGGCTTCGCAGAAGATAAGTCGCTTGCGCGGTAGCGGAAACCATTTGTGATGAAGGGAAGACGTAACCGGAGAGGTCCATGTTCATTGTTGTACCAGTCGTGCCATTGAGAATCTGGAAGAGATTCTTGAGGCTGCATGGTAACATACAAGATACCGGGTATGGGTGCCATGATTGAGGATATTGTAATGGGACTGTTTGGAGTCTTCTGTATGAATTGACTTGATTGTAAAATTCAATCGTTTGGACAAGTGAGAGATATCTTGATGAGAGGATTCCTAGGGGAGAATTGCAAACAATTTCGCATTATGGACGGGACCGACATGATTAAGGGGGCAGAAGGCTTAACCGTCTCACATGGCCATATCTGCCCCTCCATGTTTGTTCGCCATGAAATATCGTCCCCATATTATTGAGAAGTGGCTCGAGGGTGGGTTGAATAGCGGTTAGAAATCCGGCATGTTTGACACGGAAACTTCTCCGGCATTTTCCAAGTGAGGGGATTAAATTCATGCCTTAACCCTGGAGGTTTTAAGGCATCAAATGGGGTTAAGGTTCAACATGGTTCCTGCGATAATTGACATGTGGAAGGAAATACTCCGAATATTTTTTGTAAAATTACATTTCAACAATTTCCACTCTACGTCGTGTATACAATTAATAAGTATTGTTTATCTTTGTTTTCTATACCCTTTAATCATACCAAATAGCATTCATACCAAAACCAGGTTCCGGGATATCAATTCGTGCAACCCTATACAAAAACTCCTCATGCCATCTATAAATTTCAAATCCACCATCTTGATCGTCTGTCAAAGCCAACCACTCATCACTCCAAGGACAAGGACTAACTGCATTTGAATGGCCTCCACTTGTTGGCGTTGGATTCAGACAAATCTGTCTTTCGATATTTCCAGCTGGGCCGAGTTTGAACGCTGCTATGTATCCCGTAACCTTGAAATCGTTCGATCGTGATGTCGCAAAAAGATATTTGCCGCTATGTGATATGAAAACAACATCGGATCGATATAACTTCAGATTCGGAACCCCTATTGTTAAAAAAAAACGTCAGTCGCTAAGCGGGAAATTGTCTGTGAAAATGAAAGGAAGGAGGAACACATACCTGGGGGTACCAGAGGATATGTAATGTTTGTGAATACTGGCAGATGAGTTTTCTCATCAATGACATAAACTGCCAGATTGTTTCCTGCTTCATTCAAAGCATAAAGATACTTTCCGTTTGGGTGTATTTCAACCCATCGAGGATGATCTCCTTTCTTCGGCGCATCTACACTTCCCACCAACTCCAGTAAACCTGTTTGGCTGTCTTTTTTATGTGTCCATACTTTGTTCCCCCACATATCTGCAGAATAAAGATAATTCTCTTCTGCGTCAAATACCATGCCATGTATTGCAGATTCGGGACTGTATTCATAATTTTGAATGTTCTCCTTCAATGAGCCATTTTCATCAACAGAGAAAACATTTCCATGTCCAGCAAATTCGTAGAATGGATTGCCGTAAACGTTATAAGGTGCCTTCTTTGATGCTAAGCAGAAAATTGCTCTCGTTCTTGTGTCAGACTTCGATGCGGATGCTATTTGCAAACGCGATTAGAATGTTTCGCAAAGAATACAGCGACCGAGGAAGCTACATACGGTCATGGGTCATAGGATGCGAAGTGGTGTGTTGGATTTCCGCAGGGCTTGTGACAGAATGACTTGACCACTTCTTCATGGAAGCTCCATATATGTTTTTCTTCGCATGCTATTCATGAAGATGCTGGGTCAGCCTACTGGCGCTCATTAGACTCCCGCCAGACAACGATCCCAACTTACGTCAAAAGTCATCCAGGAAATTGGCTCATCTTCTGGAATTGGTGTTCTCTTGAGCAATTTCAAAGTTAATGCTTCATCATCAAATTCAATGGTAAAAATTGCACCTGGAGGGGTCCAAGTTCCCACCATCAAATGATGAAGCATTCTTCTCGGTTGTAGAGGGTGAAGTCGGCGGACAAACGAATTTCTGAACATACACGTTACAACCAATGCAAGGCGACCGACCAACTTTGAAATCTAGAATTGGAATCTCGTAACGACTTCTCTCAATTATGAACTGGTGACGGGAACAGACCGTAATATTATCTTAAAGAAATGAAATTTGTTTTGTTATCAAGGCATTACCGTCACACAACCCCCTGGTTTGCTGTTGGCGGGGCCATAGCTAGGTTATAGGAGTGCGGGGCGTAATCCGGGGACTTCGCACGGGAATTTTGGTATTGACGGTTAAAGACTTTCCCGGACAGTTCCAAGAGGACAACAGAACTCTATTAGCAAAACTTTCTTACTCACACAGACACTTAATCGTAGTAAATGCGGAGGGCGAATTAGATCAATTCAATTATGAAGCTAAGACAGATGGCTTGACATGCAGTCTAGTAATCGTGTTTCCATTGTCGAATAACTTTGCACAATTCGTGTGGCAAAAGATACTTCCGGTCAAACCCGTGACTTAGCGTTAGCTGTAGCAGCGTTTCCGAAGATCAGTGCCGTGCTATTTTCAATGCTGAACCACATTATTTTGACACTAACAGCCGACTGAACTACCGTCTCAACCATCGCTAGAACTTTGGAGGGGTCACTCGATCACCAATTCTGGAGTAGGCATTGCGGACTACTCCTAAGATGCTTGTTGATTTGTTCCTATCGTTAGGCCGAATATCGTGAGGATACTTGGGGAAATAACCATATATAGGTAGGCCTTTTTCCTCGAGGTAGGTTGTTCATTTTCATCATCAACATCTTCTTTATACTCATCCTTCCATCTCATCCTCCTTTGATACTATTATTCAAACACTCCATCCACATCTTCTCCAATCAATATCAACATGTCGACCCAACCAGAAACCACCGGTACCTCCAAGGGATTCGAGAGATTCGACCCAACTTTCACCACCAATGTCATCAAGTCTATCGGTCCCAAGACCGATGCTCGATCAAGACAATTGATGGGTTCTCTCATCCAACACATCCATGACTTCGCAAGAGAGAACGAACTCACAATCGATGAATGGTTGACCGGTGTCAACTTCGTCAACACTATCGGACAAATCAGTACCCCCACTAGAAATGAAGGACACAGAATTTCCGACGTTCTCGGACTCGAATCGTGAGTAGCCAAATCCATTACCCCACATTCCCATCTAACAATGTTCTTAGTGTCGTCGATGAAATTGCACACTACATCATGACCGAGTCTGGCGAGACACCTACATCTTCCTCAATTCTCGGTCCTTTCTGGAGCCCCAACGCCCCATTCAGACCACTTGGTGGCAGCATCATCCAGGACCCAGTACCTGCAGGTGGAAAGACTACTTTGATGCACGGAACCGTTACCGATTTGGTCACTAAGAAGCCAATTCCAAACGCCGTCGTTGACATCTGGCAAGCATCTGCCAACGGAAAATATGATTTCCAAGACCCTGAAAACCAAACCGATAACAACTTGAGAGGAAAGTTCAGAACCGATGAGAACGGACAATATCACTTCTACTGTCTTCACCCAACTGCCTACTCTCTGCCAACAGATGGGCCAGCTGGTGTTCTCTTGAAATTGCTTGATCGTCACCCAATGAGACCTGCTCACATTCACTTGATGGTAAGTTACTCCACATATTTCAACATGACCGGTAAGCTAATGCAGGAACCCGCAGATCTCAAACGAAAACTACAAGCCAGTCACAACTCAAATTTACCCAAACACCGATCCATACCTCATCACCGACACTGTTTTCGCTGTCAAGCCAGATCTTGTCGTTGACTTCAAGCCCCGCCAAGGTGACCCCAAGGCAGAATTGGACCTTGAATACAACATTATCTTGGCACCAAAGGATTTGAAGATGTAAATGATGAGTTCGGATTAAAGGGATGAATTAAAATGCTGGATCATAGATGGGATGCATAATTCTACATGGGATGGGGTGCGGTGTTTGTGTATATAGCCTTGGGTTATCGGCGTTTTACATGTTTATGACTTTATATGTTCGAAATGAGAAATCCTCTTTCACCTTTTACATCTTTTTACATCTATCATGATATTTTCGCTTTTGGTTTTACTTGCTGTTCAATAATCTTGTGGGTTCTGCAGATTTTTTATTTTTTTTGTATGAATTGCCGAAAATAAACGCATCCAGGAATTTTAGAAATTCAAGAGAAGAATCAAAATTGACACAGTCGTTCGAGTAGTGTCAATTTAACTGTGCCCTTTCATTCAGTGAACAAGTTATTTCTTGCGCTAAGAATCGAGACCATAACAGAGTAATACATCTGGCGCTACCATTTGCGGTTATACTGAGGCAGGCTCTCAAAAGAAGGAGATATCAACTTAGTCTCATTCTGAGGGTCAGATCAAATAGGGACGTTGAAGCAATAAAGTAGGATTGTATCAGTGTGCTTTTGCAAGTCCCATCCCCTAGACTATCAACTCATAGCGCCCATATAGTCCATATAATATACCTTAGATGATGAAGCCTGATTAATTAGATTTGGTTTTTAATGCTTTCTTAGTCACCTTATTTGTAAAATATGATTTTGATTTTGAACTTTGATTTTTTTAAAATTTTACAAAAAAAGTAACTCACAAATTAGTAAATATTATATCCTTCAATCTTTTTGAATAGAAATAATATTGACTGGATTTTATATTATAAATTAATTGTGAATATTTAATCAAATTTCAGGAACCTGATGATTCAATTGGTCAGTTCTATGAACCGAGAGCGCCATGAGTTGGCAGTCCAGGGGATCTATTTTATATCAAAGTAATAATTTCATTTTCGGTTCTGGTTAAACTTACTCTTCATTGGATAGATTCACTTTAGGGTCTAGAAATTTTGTAGTTTATTGCCATGACAGGCTTTTTATATCATGATATGAATTTTGCGCTTTTCACTGCAAAGAGCGATCGGTTATTTAGGTGGGAAAATTAAGGAAAGTTTTCAATTGTACTCGAGATAGTCGAAATCATCCTCGGGCTTGCTCTTCTTTTCTCTCTCCCTCTCGCTATCTCACTCACACGACTCGCGTTCACTCAGCTCTTGAGTTTCCCTTCGACTGGTGTCAAATCCAAATACGACAGGACCTCAAATGGCCAGACTGCATGCATAGTTCAAATCAAATGTTTTCAATCAATCAATAAAACCTTAGTATCTCCTTTTCACTAAATTTCCAAGTCTGCCGTACCTCCAATGTATCAAACTGATAGTGAAGTCAGCGGTCTTCAGATTGCTTCAGTAGTGATTCCCTATATCGGCAGTCTGGACTGGTGTTCATAATACAACAGGCGCTGTTGAATCCATGTAACAATACTACTACAAACCGAGAATGAAATTAGTGGTATCGTCTTCCCTTGATCCAGCTTAGTATTTCTGATCGATGCATAACTGTTCTGATGTTGTTTCTCCGTGTTTCTACCCTCAATTAATGAAGGATAATATGTGATAAATCGACAATTGATAACTTCTGACACCCAAACTATATCTAAACAACAACATGGTTTCAAATATAAATAGGTTCATTTTCCTCACTTTACATTATTTCTCTCTTCAAAACATTCTAGTCTTCACATCCTCCTCACAGATCAACAGCCAACTCAAGCCTCAATCACCACCACAAAAACCGATCTCAGCTCCTCAACATGTGTCGCTACATGACCATCACTTACTCCTGCGGATGCTTGACTAGATCTGTCGAAGCTTGCCCCCACTCATTGAGCATGAAAATTGCTCCCGAAGACTGCCAATTCCATTTCTCGGAGCCGATCCACAAAGACGAACGCGACTGTCTCAGCTGTGTTATCAGAACCACCCAGCGAAATCAGAAGAAACTCGAAAGCATGAAGTTGGAAGATTTTCATGTCGCAAACCTCAAGTTTCCACCATCTCCGTCTCCACCGCGATCTCATCCAAAATCCTTAGGAACGCGCGTTCTCAAAGAGCAGGAGAAAGCCAAGAAACTCGATACATCGTATCAAGTTCCGGTGAGGAGGGAAAGCGGAGAGGAGGAAGACGACGAAGAGACACCCCGTCAAAGTTTCAGTCAACCTCCAACCCCACGAGAAATCGAAAGCAGACTTCCAGCACCGGAAAGCCAACGACAAGGACCTGTTGCGGAGCCACGCACAGTTCCAGTCGAGGGTGAAGTCGAGCCTTTCACGCCAAAGAAGTTGGTGAGGAAGATGAGCGAAGGGGTAAAGAAGATGGCGAGGAGGTTCTCGAAGAAGAAGTAAGAGGTAAGTGGGACACTGCGGTGAGTTTCGAGAGATAAGTCGAGAAAGCGCCCCCTTCTTATAAAACACAAAAAACAGTATCAAAGAGTATCTCAATCGGTTGGAAGACTGTTTGAGTTGCGCAGGCCTTGATCAACAGAATATAAATTTTCCTCTTGGAATAAAAACGAAGACTTCATGATATTCAGGTAGTGTCATTGTATATGATAATTAGATTAATGTGTGACTGATGAAAAAATAATATGAATGGAATGTGGAAACGAACTTTATTTTCGCTAGATGGAAACGCTAGTGAATTCACCTCATCATTTGCCCTGCTCCAGCTGCCCTACCCCTTTTCAATCTCGTCGCAACTAATCTCGTTAGATTGGTCATTTATCCACCAACGAATAACTCTCTTTGAGGTTTGTCATGATGAGAAAGATCGGCATTTGAAACAACAAGAACAAAGAATGTGCGTTTCAATCTCTCAAAGGAGGAAAACCCTCGGATCCTGTTCTAGCATTTCCTTTGTCCGATTACATCAGAGATTTCGAATGAAAAGCTTATTGCTTATGACTGACTAACAAATTCCTGAAGAAAAGAAAAGTCTCGTCACTATTATCAACTACTATAACCATCGATAAATTAAATGCCAATGGCTAGTAGAAAAAGACCCAGTGCACGACAACCTGCTGATAGTAGACGACTGCCGGTAAAAAATCGCATCCCCGGTCTTACGCAGCAACCTGGAAGCGCCAAAATAACACCTAATATATCGTATACTCCCATATTTAATATAGAATCACCACGTACACCACCTCCCGGGCAGCCCTCCTCTTCTGATTGGGATTATTACACTCCTTCGCAACGCGAACAAATACAAGCAGAAGCATGGAGCAAATTAGTCGAAACATGGCAACAATGGCCCGAATTTGAGAAGATATGGGAAGGAGTGCGACATCTCGGGAAAGGCGGAGCCGGCTCTGCAGACCTGTATCGAAAGATTGGGTCGGGAAAGGGAACGGAAGGAATGCCTGAGTATATTGTGGTCAAACAAGCTGATAGATCAGACCAGGATCTTTTGAGCGAATCAATGTTACTTCAATTATTAGTGGATAGGAATACGCCCCATGTGCTGAGAATATACCAGGGATACCATGAAGGCGAGGTTGTGCCACGTAACATTGGAGGAATGTTTGACATCGGCAGAGAGAATTTCAAAAAGCGGCAGAAGAGGTGTCAAAGTAGGATATATCTCGAATTTTGCGAGAATGGCGATGTCGAAAATTGGATGATAAATCAAATTGAGTAAGCGAAAGCTGTTATAGATCAGGTAGGAAAGACATTGTTAACCCAATGGTAGAAAGTCCGGCACTGTACTTCAAGAGAAAGACATCTGGAACATATTTGAGTGTTTGGCTCGAGCATGCATCGTACTCGAGAGAGGAAGTGAGAATCTAGAGGCTGAAAATGATCCAGACTGGATTCCTATCTGCCACTTAGATCTTAAACCGGCAAACAGTAAGTTTCTCCTTTTGTGTTGTTAAGCCGCAATGATGTTTATTATTTCACTGCATAGTACTCATTAGAGAGAAGGACGAAATTCATGATACCGACATCTTTAAGGTAATTGGAACCATGAAAGTCCATGAATTCGAATTCTTGGCTGGCTAATCAAATATTTAGATGGGAGACTTTGGTTTAGCAAGCCATGTTCCTAATAATCCACAAGACCCTGGATGGCTCGATCATGTTGCGAATAATTTGTCGCTCGGATGTGGCGCCCCAGTATGTTAATCTAACTCAGCCATTTCCCTTATTTCATCACTCTCTGACCTTTCAAAGGAACAATTTTTCCCTCAAATGCAGAATCGTTTCTATAGTACACCTGCCAATGTCTTTGGCGTAGCTGCAATAGTATATTTCCTAATGACGAAGCAACAACTTAGAATAGGCCAAGACATGGCTTATGTAGGATTTCCATCATTAGACAGTGATTCCACAGTAGCACTACGGACACTAGTGCTTACATGTGGACGGAGCCTACTCGATGATCTCACGATCAAAAGCTCGGGTATCTATTCGAAAACTCTCGTAAGAACGTTACTCCAATGTCTAGCGTATTCACCCCATGAGCGTATGACAGCGAGACAATTACTCGATGTCTGTACCACTGGTAGATTTCTGTGCAAAAGCACGAGAGAAGAATATATATATGAAGATAGCCAGCCAGTGACCAATTACTGGCCAGAAAGAGCTGCGTCAAGCATTCCAGAATATCAGGATCCCAAAAAACGTTTGAAATATAATCCAACCCACGAATCGATTGCAGAGGAAAAAGAGAGGGAAGAAATATTCCTGGCGTCTTTCTGGGTAACTCCGCCTAAACGAATAGCACCGCCACTCTCGTTTCCCGCAAGTGCCTTCAGCTCCACGCTGGGTTCCAGCTCAAGTTCAGGTGCAAAGATGTCTTACAATTTTGGAGAATTGACCTCGGCTCCACAATTTGGTGGCTCTGATCTTTTTGAATCTGAAAACACCTCTGGTGTTAATCTCACTCCAGGAAGTAGCTTTATGTTCGGACAACATCAGCCTCCAGAGCCTCAGCCTGGCAGCTCGAATATTTTTGGCCCTGGAAACGCCTTAGGCACCAGTAATTTTGAGTTTGAACAACGAAAATCTTCAAATCCTCACTGAGCACTGCTCAGTCTGGTAACCAAGGTATTTTCTGATCCACAACTCCTCCTAGTGGTAGCTTCAATACGAGGGTCTTCGAGTTCAGGCAGTGAATGATAATCAAGCAGCAATCGCCAAAGATGAGTCGATATTAAAAGAAAGTCGTATTTGTTTGACTACGCTATGTGAGATATGATGATCTACATAAAAATTCGGTCCGCAGTACTTCAACTACCAAACTGCAGAAAAATTGTGCGGCGAGTGCACTAGCTAACTATGGCAATTAAGCTCGTGAAGAAGAGCTTCGAGAAAGAACGTCAGAAACAAACATCTATAAGTGGTAATCATCGTCCCCTAAACTTTCATACTTTAAAGTCTATAAACGCCAAAACAAAATTTCTCCCACATTTTCCCTCATCTATGATAAAATAACAACATTTATGCAGCGCACTTTAACGATACTTGTGTCCCATTGTGCGAACAGACAACCAGAGTATATGCTTCTTGCCATGGCTTTTCATCTCTTGGCTCAATCTCTTCAAATTCCTGCAACATTCTTACAATCACAAACGACGCTTCGATCAATGCAAATTGTTCTGTGTCCAAAGTTTTAGTCAGTCATCGATAAAGTACTTGAATTTTTACAAAGAAACACGAGGAACTTACGCCCTAAACAAATTCTCGGCCCTCCATTGAATGGCAGAAATTCCTATTCAAGTTAGCATGGCTGTTATGGGGAGAAGAGGCATGAATTTGGATATGTACCCATTTTGGCTGTATATGATCCCAGCGTTCTGGACGGAAAGTTTCCACATCTTCACCAAATAGATCTTTACGACGGTGCATCGAGTACACGCTATATAGAACCTGGGTACCCGCTTTAACGAATAGCGGCGCTTGGCCATCTTCCCCCCCACCACGTGGAAGATAAGTGTCGCGGACGGCTTCGCGAGTGTTTGCAGGGACTACGGGATGGATACGGAGAGCTATTCGATCAGCACCTGATTTTGGACTTGTAATTAGGGGTGAGCATGGGGCTAATACACTTACATTCGTTAATACATTGACGTAGATATTTCATGTTTCGCAGATCATTATACGTCGGTAACTGACCGTCAAGTTCCATCACTTCAGCTCGTAGCCTTCTCCATACATCCGGATATCGCGCTAGCATGAAAAAAAGATTGCTAAGTAAACTAGCTGTTGTATCTCGGCCCGCTAGAAGAGTATTCAATACCTGATCCCGCAGAACCTGTCGATCTGTGGTCAACTTGGCTATTTCTTCAAGAAAAACATAGGGGCCAGAGTTGACATCCTTTGTTTTGGTCTTGTTTTCATCCTTCTTAAGCGCATCGAGAGCTGCATCTATGTAATGATCGACATATTTGAAAACGGTCCTCTGAGCCCTGTTGGCTGCAGGGTTATATCGAAATCGTGCAAGTGGGCCAAGTCGTACATTATGAGATGCTTCGAGTTGGGTATACGTATACTGCTCAACAAAATCTGCATCGGATACACCACCCGAGGAATGATCTGAATTGGACTGAGAGTTGACGGAATGTCCAAACAGAAACTGGGTAGCTGTATCTATGGTGAATTTGAAGAAGAGATCTTGTAGATCAATAGTAGACCCTTCGCGAGGGATACGATTTAGTAGATGTTGGAAATGTGTCTCGGCAACCTCGAGGTTAGAAATACTTTCTTTCGCAAAAGTAGGCCGAAGGAGTGCGCGAGATTTGTGCCACAATTTTCCATCAGTCGTAAAAATTCCATGTCCGAATACGGGTTTCATTGCATCGACTCGAATAGACGAGAGCCGAAAATCATCAAATTTTGTTGCAAGAATGGTTTTGACATTCTCTGTATCGATTGTGAAGACTGTGGGATACGTAATAAGTTTGGATGTAAAGGTTGTTCCGTGCTGCTCATAACGCTTGCAAGTTCCTTCGAGGTGTCGTAGATTTTTGGCGTTTTGGATTGTATCTAATACTAAATCGAGGCCAAATATTGGATCTTTCAGAGGGTATTTTACTTGAGCGGGTTGACAACCGTTTGATTTTTGGAATTGGCGTCTCGTGAAGTAAAGCTTGGTTTGCTTTAACGCATAATAAAGAAGACTTAAAGTTATAGATACTGTAATTATGTTGGAGCTCATCCCATTGAAGACCGACATGTTTGCGATCAAGAAGTGATGTTAACTTTGTAATGACTGGTAGATACTAGATAGCATGAGCTTTTCGCTGTTAGTGGCGCTTTGAAAGAAATACAAGGACAGTGACTGTTCTTTATGATCAAATCGACTTTCAGAAAAGTAATTAATGTTGTCACTTTGCATGCGACAAAAACATGGCATCGCTCTATCGGCATATAGCAGGGCTCACAATGCCAACATTCCCCAAGGCCATGCCAAGTTAAAACCGGGTATCGAATTGACGAGCGTGGGCATTGACAGATGCAGAGCAGATCAAAAAGGCTATAAATAGTAGAGATATAATTTTCAAAAGCAAGACAAAGTATCATGCAGACTCATCTTTTCCGATACACTTGTCATCATATATCAAATCTGACCCACAAGTAAGAAAGCTTTTGACTTAGAAGATCACTATGGAATCTCATAAATGAAAGATACTATAGCCAACTAAAAACAAGGATTCGGAATGATAAGCGTAGATGTCACAGATGTAAAGTAGATCTTTGGTACTACTTGTGGCAGGGAGGCTTTTGACTCAGACGATCACCAAGAAACCCCATGTATCAAAGACGCTATTTAGAGCTAACAACTTTGACAGCTATCTTATCCACTATTTTATAATCCTAACAGAATTTCTATCTTAAGTGAACATTGTAATTTTCCACTAAAGATCGTAATATATTATTGCAGATCGCATATTAGAAGCCTACAATTGTACGACTGTACATCATACAATCGTGAAATATCTGAGAGCGGGATCTCATATATCACGTGATAACAAGCGTTACTTATTAGTGTGCCACACATCAGCGTCAAGGGATCCTTCTTTGGACCCTTGTTAATTCTTCATAGAGTTCTAAGTTATTGTCAATTGACATTTAGTTCCCGTACCATGTTCTCACATATAACCATAGTTATCGATGCGTACGACTATACTATTTGCTTGTATATTCAACTTTCAATGATTTAATGTGTGTGATCTGTGGTAAAATATTGCGAACTCTCGAAATTTACCTTGGTTTGTCACAAAAAGTCTTCTTCATGTTGAATCCGAGGACGGGTAGGCCTCGCACGGCATATGATAGTGACAGGAAACGGGCACTAAACGAACCCTTGGCCATGCAATCAGGATCAACGCTGTGATATGCGAACGGGTGCTTTTAATCAATGTGCGGGTAAACATGTCAGAAGATATTCTTATAACACTGGGGACGTCAGATTTGAAAGAAATTAGATGCCATCTGATGAGTACTTTGACATCAGTCTTCTTATGAAATCGCAACATTGATCTTAATGAGGAGCAATAAGAGGATGTAAGCTGAGAATAGAACAACAGGGAGCATGGTGACGATAACAGGAGTTAGGGGTGTTCCAAGTGGGTAGTAATATATACAACTTTCATATCCAGGTACGCTCTCAAATAGTATCACACCAAGACAGATTTCCTATGCAAGCTTTCAAATCAATACTTCAGGTATGCTGATGTACTCTCATTTGACCATGATCATGCCAAGATCCAAAGATTCAAAGATTAGAAGAATAAACCAAAAAGATCGATGTAACCTTATAATCGTCAAGCGAAGATAAGATAAGATGATATGGTTGATTGTGAATGTAAGACTTTGCGAACTCGTCATTTGTATTAATAAATGCTGATTGATTTGACCGTAGAATCAATATTGCGACACTAGTCTCAAATATTTGTAGATACCAGTGAACGTAAGTACAGGCGACGAAGACTCTGTCAGAAGTAAGATATGAGGTTCGTGGGCCTCTCCCCGCCCGAGCCGTATGAGTCAGCTGAGATTCTCAGGAGTAAGTTTCAAGTGACAAAAATAGCTCTTGACTTGATCAAACGACTAGCAATGACCAATACTTTGAAAATTCTATTTGCATCGCCAATTGCAAATTTACGAACTCAGACAATTGCTTTCTCTGCGATCGTAAAGAGCCTGTGGCTGTAATTGTTAGTTCTGACAATGTGTTTAGCAACATTTTGTAGAAGAGACAAGTACCTGGTCAAATATCATGTGCCTTAAGAGACTCGGGTCCGTTGTCAGCAATTTAAGCGAGGTGCCCGACAAAGCCATATGCCACCCGTCAACATAAGCACTATTGAAGTTACTTACTTTGAGGTGTGTGGTCAGATATTCCAAGGAAGGTAAAGAATAGCCCCCTTGATGATGCTAATCAAGCAAGTTTGATGTCTTATCATCTGCTATTCTCATCATGTGCAAGGAAGGTTGATACCTAGAAGTAAGATGTACAACGGAAGGCTGTTTTGCTGTTTTGCTATTTTCCTGTTTCTAATGTGTACATCTAAACTATATGAATCTGCGTTGACTCATTGTCCAATTCTTGGAGCCCGTGGCTGGGCTGTCTTCTTGTAACCGTTGAATTATTTTTGATGCAACGGAAATCTTGAAAAACTCTACATTTGCTATAAAGCGCTTGCTGTTCAAAAGTTTTATCGACAATACTTCAACGAGACTGCTAGAATTCATACTATTTGAAATTCTGACACACCTTCTTTACCGAATCTGATAGACTATGGATACTTCAACAATTTCCGATGAGTTTCCAGTCGGAAAACTCAAGGCAGAGTGCCTGGGTCTTGAGATACCTGGCATAAACCAAAGCCTATGGGACATGTTTGCCGCGGCTGCAGAGAAACACATGAATGAAGAAGCTCTTTGTTCGCTTTGGCAGCCTTCAGGCCACCTTAGCCCGCGACTCGAAATCGAACAAACAGACCTTGAGACGCATATAATACCAATTACCAATGAAGATGGGGTCGGAATGGTCACACCTAAATCATGCTCAGCACCACTGAGATGGACTTTTGGCCAGCTTCGAAAGAAAGCCGAGTCATTGGCAATTTGGTTGCAACAACGTGGTTGTACTAAGGGTGACAATCTTGTAGTTTTCGTATGGAATTCCGCGGAATGGGCATTATTTTTGTGGGTCGCCGCGAGGCTCAGAATGCCATTTGTACCGTTGGATCCAAGAAGTTCGGATAAAGATGTTATGCATTATCTGAGCCTAGCTCCCCCTCAAGTCTTAGTTGTTTTGGATCCAGACGCATCCCCTGTTTTTGAAAGTCTCGGAAACGTTAAAGTTCGGATATCACTTTCGAAAGTTTCCGAAGGAACGAGGAATTGGCATTCACTACCTGGAATAATGGGCAACCTGCCAATGGAAAACATCTCATTTGCTCCTTCAGAGGACGATTGCACAGAACTGGGCCAGGAACTTGCTACGATCCTCTTCACAAGTGGGACAACTTCAGTCCCAAAGGGATGCCCTCACACTGCATCAAACATCTGGTCTGCAACATACGACTATGATCCTGTTGCCCGAAAAAACGGCTGTCAGAACAGGTGGCTCATCCACACACCAGTGTGGCATATCTTTGCAATGGGCCAAACTATACGAGGTTGGAGGGATGGAAGCTCCGTAGTGTTTGCTACCGAGAAGTTCGACGTGACTGCCTCCTTACGAGCGCTTCAACATGAGAATATTACACATGTTGGAGCTGTTCCCCTATTAGTAAAAGCACTTGTCGCACATCCAGAATTTCCAGGCAAGAATTCACTGTCTCTATCGTACGTAACTATGGGAGGAACACTGATAAAAGATGAAGATGTTAGGTTCTGCAAGGAGCATCTTGGTAGCGAGGCAGTTATCCAAGGCTTCGGTATGACAGAGGGCTCTCCTATGGTAAGCTGGAGGCGCGATGATCCAATGCTTAAGAACGGCTATCATCTCGGAGTGGGAAAAGTTTTACCAGGTGCTAGGCTAAAGATATGTTCTCCGAAATCTCATGTGCCTCTGAATAAAAGCGAAACTGGAGAACTTCACATTGGCGGGACTTCAGTCATCGATGGATATTTGAATGGTATAGATTTAGGATCTTTTTATACAGATGACGTTGGGAAGTGGTTTGTCACCGGCGATCAAGCTATGATAGACAGAGGTGACGTCCTCTACATCAGTGGACGGTATAAAGACATCATCATTCGTGGAGGTGAGAACTTGGTCCCGTCGAAAATAGAATATTGCCTTCAGGACCTTGGGATAACTGTGAGTACCAACCCTTGAAACTAGTTTTGAAACTGATTTTGAGAAATACAGGCTCAAGTGATTGGCATCGTAGATTCCATAGCCGGCGAGGTTCCCGTCGCAGTCTTACAGTCTTATCCAAAGGAAGTCTCCAAGGCACAAATGACCAAAGCTATAGTAGAAAACTTGGGTCAGACATATGCACTCTATTCTATTATAACATTAGATGACCTTCATCTAAAAGCCTTTCCGATGACTGCGACAGGAAAGATTCGGAAGGTGGAATTGAAAGGCATCGTCAATCGGTATTTCGCCACAATATCAGAAGCGAAAAGAACAAACCCCAGCGAGAAATTAGTTGCTCAGTTGCGGGAAATCTGGGCAGAGCTTATGAACGCAGCCCCAGATGACATTTCAGTAGAAGATGATGTAACCGATTTTGCCGATAGCATTACAAGATTGAGGTTTTGTAAGATCTTGTGGACCAGACTTGGTCAAAGATTGTACTTGCCAGATTTAGAAAAAAACAATACCATCAAGCAGCAGACAAAACTTCTTGTGGAACGAAGCTATCATAGAGACTCACCTACTTCCCTTTCAGATAACGTAACTTCTAGTGAGGGCCAAAGCAATCTGACTGCATCTGCTGAATCCCGTCCGAAAGTACCACATTTACAAGGGGGAACTATGCGCCAATATCATCATACTGTGGCCGAGGCGGCCAACGAAGCTTTGCAAAAGTTCGGTTTAACATTGGAGAATGACATGGAAGATGTTTTGGCAATCAAAGACACATTTCAGGAGTTTGCGAAAGGACAAAGACCACAATCATATCGCCACAGAATAGCATTCGAAATCAAGGATCGCAATTCTAGCCAGGTCCGTGCAGCATTAGAGAAATCTCTTTTGACCAGACCGGT